CCGGGGGCCACTTAGACAAAGTTGACCAATCAGATTACAGGAAAAGAACAAAACATTCCAGGAAAGTTGACTGCGGCCAATCAGCAGCTCGTAAAAAAACAATGGCTGTCTTTACACTAGGCTGTTAAGTAAGACTTAAGAGCTGCTGAGTTTTACTTAACCAAAAGTTCGTGTGTGAAGGCCTAAGTAAAATCTGAAGTAACTTTACTTTTCATCTCATTAAAGTCGGAAAGTTGAAACGATTCAAGAAAGTTTCAAGTGACTTGAAAACCATCCTTAAAACCGACTTAGCTGACTTGCAGTTACTTGCGGTTTCTTGAGGTTTGAGAAAGGCGAAACGCGTCAACAAGCGTAATTATGTGGCGTGGGAAAATAGCCTTACGTTAAGCTGAAGTAAAAAAGAATCGCTGTGTGTGAAGCTTTATTTTACTTGAAGCTGAATTAATTAAAATTTACTTGTCTTGACATATTTCTTAGCTTATTTAGGCTCTAGTGTAAAGACTACCAATATTAAAGTTACTTAAAACACAAAATTTAAATATTGATAGTGTTACATGAAAGCAAAATATTTTACCACACAATGTTTTTCTATTTGAAACTTTACTTATAACACAGAGGCTACGTATTTGTTTGACGTAAGGTATTGTTTTGTTCTTTACGAGCAATTTCATCGATACCAGTTGCCACACTTAACGATGGCCGAATATATACTAGAGACGAGTTATTATATATCCGTCAGGCGGATTATTCCTCTAAGTATAAATCCGAAGAAGAATTTTGCTCCATAATTCGTCTAGATATTTTATGCTGGTTACACGACTGGTGTTTCGGTGTTGAGGAGCCGAATTGCGGAAATAAAGAAACCAGTCTCTCACTTCGTCAAAAAACCGTTTGCGTTCCGTCTAGATATAATAAAGAGACGAATAATCCGTCTAAGACGAATTACCCATCTGTTTACACGTCTTGAAGACATGCTAACAGACGAATCAGCCGAATTTTGCTCCATAATTCGTCTTGGCACCGAATTTATACTAGGGACGAATTATCCGTCTGAGACGGATAATCCGTCTAGCTAATTCGTCTTCTAATGTAAATTCGGCGTAACATCCGACCTCAAGAGTCGCACTGTAAAAGACAAGCTTTCTTGCGGGTTCAAATACTGACAACATCCAGAGTCCAATATTCATGCTTTCGGTGAATCAAAAACAGATTCCAGAGGGGATGGATTTTTGGGGGGTGAATGATAATGGCCTCCAAATTAACGGAGAAGTTCCAAAGTGGTACATTTTTTCAGGCTACAGTATTCCCGTAGAGTTTTTGTCGTAAAACATCTGAAAACGCTGGAAGATTGTTCCTGGTACAGTAAAATATCCACGTACTAACCATTTGTCGCTAAAGATTGCTTAAAAACGTATATAAAAGGGTGAGGAAATATGTTATTTTGGTCTCAGTGTAACAAGACCCAAAAGGTCTGAAAGATGCATTTCATGCCTGTGAAAGAGTAAAGAAAACGTTCTGGTTTTGTGATTTATTCATATTAACCCTCGGACGAGGGAGGGGGGGTGGGAAGTGTCCCCTCCCGCTCTGGTTTTTTTTGAGTTTTTTCCTAGATGATAAACATCAGCACCTGACGTTTTCAGTAGCTGTTCGTTTATCCCTCGCGCGCATAGTGATGGTCAGTTACTATGGTTACGACATATGACGTCATGAGTAGCAGGTGATGAAGCCATTTTTGAGTGAGAATGCAGGTTTTTTCAACTTCTTTCAACAATAAAAGTAACGCTTGTGGATGAAATGATGCAAAGTGCTTATTTATGTGTCATTTTACATGACTTGTCAAGCACAAAAAATTATCATTTATCGCAGTTTTAACCTGATTTCTAATTCTTGGTAAAATACAAGATGGCAGCCAAGATGGCGACCATTGTTAGTGACGTCACAGGCCTCCAGCAGCGCCACCACCCATAAAACATGCCTCATCTTGTTGAGACGATCAAAGTTTTTCCACTGAAGGCAAAATCGTGTCGAAAGACTGCAACATATCAACAGGTTATAGGGAGGTGTTCCATCAACCCCCCCCCGCTTCTACCAAGGTTGGGGCATGAATTTGCGCGTGCGTCCGACGGTTAACACATTAAAGAGACAGTGCATTTACTGCAGTTAAAAGGGATGCAAAGTTCTAGGTCTGTGAAAGGGGTACCACTTGTCAATAGAAGGTATACTAAAGAGGTTGCCTTTTCTGTCTTAAATGTGGGTAAGGGGTTAGATCTCGGAGCTCGGCCTCCCCGTATAGAACTTTGTTTAGTACCCCCCGGGTTACAGCACTTCAAGCGTGTATGCACTGGAAATTCTTGCCAATTCTTGCCATTGAAGCGCTTCAGACAATGACTCTCAGATAATCATAAATGCCGAGGCGGCCATTTTACTCTGTATTATTGTCCGTGAGTTGATATGATATTGCTGTTGCCGGGCGTCGGTTTAATGAAAACCGGGCTCAGACCACATTCAATTGAAGATCAGTATAGACGCATTTAGAATCGTTAGTTTTCTGCCTGCAATCGGCGTTCGGTTGGTGAAGGGTTACACTAGGACACAGCTATTTCGAGGAAGGTTGTCGGAAAAACTGTGCACGCGACAATCCCGAAAGGTAATATGGGATATGATCAGTGCACTTTTCCAGACACTGTAGCTTTCGAATCTACTTTTTTTCCTGCTTTCCTTTAGAACTCGCAAACTTTTCAAGGCCTCTCGTGCAATTCTTTGAGATTTCCGGCCTTGAAAACTAGTGAACTTAAAATCACCCACAATACCTTTCGGGATCGTCGCGTACACTTTTTCCGACAACCTTTCTTGAAATAGCTGTATGTACTCTTTGTTCAACCAACCGATTTTCATCAGTAAGGAATTGCAACAAGACCTCAGGTCAAAGAAGATTAAGCCCCCAAACTTGAATGAAGAATAATGCGTTATTTACTTATTTTCATGTGATCTCTGCAGATTATGTTGGCTATACAGTCCAACCATAATTCATAGAGTGGCGATACTGCAAAACAAGCTGCCCTTTTTGCAGCCCGTTTTACCGTAGTTTTACACAGAACAGGATCCAACATAATCTCGTACCTAGATCTCACTCTGTGGGTGATCTGGGTACGAGATTCGATCCAACATGCCTGTCGTAAACAAGACAACAATTTTAGCAAATTAAAACAACTTTTTATTTGTCCCTAAAATAACTTTACTGCTGTTTATAACTTCTTTAGGAGTTACAACTTTTTTGTACAAAAATACAATAATAAAATAAATATCCTCATATAACGTGAATATTAAGCGCTGAGGTTCGATTTCATGTTTTTGCTTCAACACGAAAGCATCGAAACATTATAAACATTAAATTTTTGTGGCTTCTTTTAAGTTAAATGCTACAAAAAAAGTTCAACGATTGATAACAAATATTCGCCGAGTGAACTTTCTCAAAGACTTCTGGAACTGTTGCTATAACTAGGGACAGGGAAAAAATTGACCAATAACTGACCGGCGAGTCCTCAGTAATAATCCCAGAATCAATTGCGGGACGCGTTTCGGCTCCAGTTTCTTTCGCGTTTTAAAAGTGACGAATGGGAAAGGTGAAAGAGAATTGCCTTGCCCCACCCCCTTCTCTATTACCACCCAGTGGCGGATCCAGGAGAGCCCCCGGCCCCCCTCCCCTTATTTTTAGAGAAAACCGAGGCCCGAAGGGCCGAAAAAACGATTTTTGGAGACCCCCCGCCTTCCCCTTATCTGAAGGTCTGAACCCGCCACTGCCACCCGACGAAAAATTGGTGGGGATGGGGACAACGTGTCTCTTGCATCGCTTCGTTCAGAGCCGGATACTACACTGTGATAATGAATGAAGTTTGTTGCCAAGATTTATCCTCAATGTGGAAAGAAGAGTCCGAGACTCTAAAGTCAAAGCAAAGTCCTCAAGCAAGGTCCACTTTCAAAGATATCCCACATATCAGTGTGTCAAGTCAGTGACGTGAGACCACTACAAAAGACCCATGACTTTAACTAACCCCCGCTGATTTTCACTAAACGGGAACTTTAAAATACAACGACGCGACGGTAAAGAGAACGTCATTAAAAACAATAGGTTAAATAGGTATAACAACAACTTTGTATGAGCTTCACACTTTTTTGTACCTTTCTTTGCCGTTTTTGCACGACTACGACGTGAAAATGCTTAATTTCATGTTTTATGGTAGACGTCAACAAGCAACGACGAAATCTAACTTCTCTTCCTGAACTTGGATATGGTCCCTAGGAATTTAACTCCAGTTGGGTAACCTACATTTGACAAAGTAAGTGGGTAGAAATAATCGCGACAAGACTAAGACAGCGAAAATTCACTTTTTAAGCGACGTTCTCTTTGCCTTCGCGTCCTTGGATCTTTAGGGAGCTTAAGCAACGACGACGACGACATCAACGAGAACGGCAAACAGCATTCGGTCTAGATTAGCAAAACAACAACAACGTGATCACGCTTTTTTGTACAATGCTTTGCCGTCACTCAGGTCACTGCACGACTACGACGTGAAAATTAAAGATTACGTTTTGTGGAGGACGTGAAAATACGAAGGCTTTCTTTTTCTTTTCCTGAACTTCGATACAGTCTTTTAGAATTCAACTCCAGAAAAAATCACTAACATTAGACGAATTGAACGAGATGGAATAAGCGCGATAAAGTTTGAAGCAGCGCGAATTCACTTTTTAAGTGACATTTTCGTAGCCGTCGCCGTCGTTGTTGCTTATCCCTTTTACCCCCGGAGGGGGGTGGGGGGGGGCACTTTAGGAATTTCTGGGTGGGGATGTGCCGCTGGGACCCTAGAACCCTTGACCTATACCAGAGTTAGTTCAGCTGAATTTTGCTACCCTATACTAGAGTAAACTCCCAAAATCGCCCTATCCTAGAGTAGCTGTTTCCCCAGTCTAGATAAAATCTTCAACCAACTGATCAGTTTCCTGAAAAATGATACCCTATTCTAGACCCAAACGCTCTGATTTATATACCCTATCCTAGAGTAAACTGCTTGAAAACCATACCCTTCACAGCGGCACATACCCATATAGCCCATATATGGCAGTATCCCCCCCGGGCTTTTACCTCCCTATTTACGAATCCCGACAAACGAGGTTCATTTTTCAAGTCTTTGTCACACAAGGCTCCTTTGGGCCTTTTTGTCACATATTCTCCAGGAACATCAACAGACGCTAACTGTTTACCACTCAGCTCAGCCTGTAATGTAGCCCAAAGCAGAGCAATACTGTAATTCAGCTACAGGATACACGTTGTCACGTGATTACTTCTACTTGTGCTTGGTGATTTGACAAGTCCATTGAGGGACCATTTTCAGCGGGTCTGCCACGTGCACTCCCAGCCCTACTGGACACAGCGCTTCCTGTTTCAAGATCCTTTATTTCCTGTAAACAGAGAACATCATAAAACGTTTGATTAGTACACACAAACTGTTTCAGCCTAAGTTGCACAAGGCAAAAATTATGTCTGGGAATGCAAATAAATCGGGTCTACTGTACTGCATATCTAATTCACACATCTAATTTCTATCTGACTTCATGTTTGACTTGCTTGCGTTTAGGTGAGGTTTAGGGTTAGGGATACTTCGTGATATTTACCATGCATAAAGGGCATGAATCACATTACATCGGCGTTGCAAGAACTAGTCAGGAGAGAGAGCTGAGGGACTTAAAAGCCATGCAAATTGAGTCATGATAAATTTTGGGCACTTTCAAATTTGTCAAAGAAATGACTAAATTATCGAAAGAAAAGCTTAAAAGTGTACAAGAACCGAAGAGACATGCGGAAAGCTAAAAAAAGAGCACCGAGAGGCAAAAATGAAAAACTGAAAACAGATTGCGTTCGGGTAAAAAAAGTGGCCCGACTTGTTCAAGTTTTATCTCCGCTTGACTAAAGTATGATGCTCAAAGATCATAATTTTTCCTTGTTTGTTACGTGGCCATGATTTCTTCGACAGACTTTTGTTTTACCGATTTATAATTTAGTAAGCAAGCAAACTGTATTAAAATATCATGGCCTTTTCTTTTCAATATAATATTCAAGCCTAGCCCTTGCTACTTCGTTATCATCGTTCTGGTGGCGCCCTCTACGTCACACAACACATTCTCTCTGTGTGTTGCATGACAAACAGAGAAGGGCCAAAGCTGGACTACTGTTGCCTTCGTTAACGAGGACACATTCGTTCGGACAGCAAAAACACTAGCCATATGGTTTAGCTGGAAAAACCGAAAGCTTTCTTTCTATCTTCTTACCTTCCACTTCATTCCGTCTGACACAGAAAAACTCAGCTCGCTTTTTAACTGACCATGGGTGGAAGGAGGTACGTTGGGTAGTATAATCGTCTTGGTAACAGCAGGGTACTTCAGAAACTCTGCGTAACGCTTTTGAAGAAGCTTCTCTTGTTTCGTTGCTGTCGAGAATAAAAAAGCATCTTGTCAGTAGAGGGATTTAGAGTTACGTTTACGGCAAACGCCAAACGTTAATTTGTACCACGTGACCAAGTTTTCCCATTTCTTGTCTTTTAATGTTCATTTCTTCCTTTCACGCTAGCTTTACCCATAAGCATCGTTCTGGCAATTTTTTACTGAAACTCATGACATCCTGCATACAATTAACAAATAAACTAATCTGGCTAGGATAGTTCCAAAATGGAAAGCGCCGTTGGACTCTTTATTGTAGCCTTGCAGCACTAGATTGCGATAGAAATCTTAAACGACTAGGGGTGGGGGGGGGGGGGGAACTAAGTAAAGTTTTATACTGGGGGGTTCCGCCCCGAGGTTCAAGCTCTTACCCTTTCATATACCATTTTTGACAGAAAACGTACCCCTTTTGTATGCCTTTATTGAGAAATGGTACCCCTTTCACATACTAGGTTAGAACGCTGCATCCCTATGCAACGTCTTTTAAATATAAACAAATCACTAAACCAGAAAGGTTTCCTCTCTTTTTCACCGCCATAAAAAGCGTCTGTTAGCCCGTTTAGGTCCTTCACAGACCGCAATGACAGATTTCTCTACTCTCCCCTCCACAGAAGTTCATGCTGGGCCATAGATCCCAATAAAAATTGTAATAATCGAGAAATAGAAAGCGCGCGGTGGACGATGGGAAGAAGGAAAAGGCAGGAAAAAGCCTCTTTTCCCCTCTTTTCCCTTCCCATCGTGACCCGCGCGCTTTCTTTTTCTTTCGCTTCAGCCTCCCTACGACACAATTCAAAGAGGTCACTGTGGAGGAGACAGGATTTCCCTACTCTTTTCATATAATTTAACTGGTGAAATCCCTACTCTTTCATTTACCTGAAGCCTGAAAAGGGTAACGCTTTTGCGCCGAAACTTCCCGTAAAGCCGGGTCATTACACACAGGGAGTATCCCCCTTATCTGCCCTTACCGTAGAGCGCTGAACGGAAGGACAGTACTTACGAGGTAATTTGACTTTATTCACATCCTCGGGTTGGGTATACTGTTTACAAAACCCCGCCCAATATGGCAGCATTTCTTTAAACAGGATACTCTGAGCTTCATCAAACAGCCCGGGTTCTTTCTGCTCCCTAGGGATTTTCTTCCCAGACGAAAACACCTGTGCTTTGTGTATAATTCTGGAGGCGAGCTCTGGCCCGATGTCAATCTAAATGCAAAAAGAAACTCAAGTCAATGAATTAAGAAAGCTATCTAATGCAATAACTATATTCGACTATGCTGATATTAATTGGGGAGATAGGGGTGACGTGGCTTTAATTAATAGAAGAGGTACAAGTTCTGCAAAACAAAGCAGCACGTATAATTGTAGATTTACCCCCTCGTACATCAGACACTGAGGCTCGAGTTAAAATTGGGTGGAAATTGCTCTCAAGATTGACGTGCTGAGCATCGCGCCATCTTTATCTTTATGTTTTGGAGAGCAAGGGTGGCGCAGTGGTGAGAGCACTCGCCTCCCACCAATGTGGCCCGGGTTCAAATCCCGGCGTCGACGCCATATGTGGGTCGAGTTTGTTGTTAGTTCTCTCCCTTGCTCCGAGAGGTTTTTCTCCGGGTACTTCGGTTTTCCACTCTCCTCCAAAACCAACATTTTCCAATTCCAAATTAAGTGCCTGGATAACTTATTTACACATTCTTTTAATGTTGTCCTAAATAGAGAACATCATGATTACTATACCAAGTCTAAGAAAAATGTACCTAAGGCTTTTTCAATTAGAAACTGGGGTCTTTGCAGTTGCAGATCCAGGGGGGGGCCGGGAGGCACGGGCACCCCTTATTTTTCGACCAAAATGAGGCCCGAAGGGCCGAAACACAGTTTTTTGGAGACCGCCCCCGCCCCTTGTCTCAGGGTCTGAAACAAATAAGCTTTTCGAGCAATCAACATGTCTCCTATAGAATCCATTTGAGCAGTTTTTAAAATTTTTAAATTTGCGAAGTGGTCACCCCACGTAAGGGCATCCACGACAGTCCTGGAATCCGGATTCCAGGTACTGGATTCCAACCTTTGTCAATGGAACTTGGAGTCTGGATTCCAATTGCTAGTGGGATTCCGGACGCCTTGAGCTGCGTTCCGAATTCCAAAGCCCAGGATTCCGTATTCCGCGAGTACAATTTTTCCGGACTCCAGTTTTCGATCCACAAGCAAACATTTCCGGGAATCCAGAATTCGGATACCCTTACATAAGGCACCAATTGCACATTCTTCAAGAGACCACTCGTGAAATCTTTTTTTTTTAATGCGTTCTGACGTTCTCTTCTCGGGTCTTGAATACGCTATTTATGGGGAAAAGTATCCGCAAAAGATGTGGTAGCAAATATACTGGCTGGGTATTTGGAAACTGTGGGAACAGGCTCCCAGCGAGTGCCATGTTTTTTTTGCTCTCCCTCTCAGCTCTGAGGTGTTACCAGGAAAACAACAAAAACTTGTAGCATTCTTCGGAGGAGGACAGATCCGATTCCCTCTGTTACAAATAAATTCTCTAACTGGGAACAAATGAGTGTACAAGCTTCTGACATTTGGCTGATGCTAGTCCGTTTCCCAGGAACTATCCTCGGTTGAGGATCGCGCTACAGATTCTTAGAATATTAGAGCAGCTTTGGTAAGAAATATCTTAAAATTTACCGGAAACCTATTTCTTTAACAGTCACCGAGTCACTTTAGGAACTGAATGCTCAGCACAGAATTACTAACACATCAACCGGCAGTGGTCAAGTGTCAATTTTCATAGCGTACCAACGCAACAACATTTCATTCAGTCAAACCATCACAAAAATTAATGGTTTTTAAGGCGAAAATTTGGATTTTAAAACACTGATGAGAAGCGAATTTTCTACAGTTTATTATACATTGATAATTAACTCACTATCTGTCTCTCATTGGGTAATAGACTACAGTCAACGCAAATCTGAAGGCTGCGGGCGTAATGCATGACTTCTAAGAGCCATTTGTGCCAAAGTATATGTTTGTAATGTTTGATTTAATTATAAATCATTGCTTGCGAGACAAATTTGTTTGACACGAAGTTTTTACTTTCTCATTTACAAGGTAATCTGTTAAGTTCCATAGCGAATAGGGACCGCAAAATGCAATAACATTGACGCAAAATGTAACAAAATTTTCAACGAGATCGAAGGAAGGAAAATTGAAGATTCCCTGTAAGCTTCCTCTTAATTTTTTTTTCTTCTCTGTATGACAGTGAAAGGGTCTATCTCTTTACAGCTGTGAAGTGCATCTGTATTTTTATGAGCAAGAGGTTCCGTAGGTGGAATTATCATAAAATCTCCGTACAGCGCTCGTAAAATTTTCTTCCATTCTCGCGGAGCCGGTAAAGAAAATCCATCGAAATTTACTTGGGTTAGTGGGAAAATTTCGCTGTGTTCTCTAACAATCGGACTGTAGATGAGTCGTAAAAAACGATGTGGGGAAGAGTAGATCTCTATAAAATTGCCATAATCGTCACTCTCCACAACAAACATGTCGATAGTCAAACCATCGTTATATTTACAACCGGTAATACAAGTCTTGAGACAGCTTCGTGTGTCGCGTAGTTTTCCCAGCATGCCACTCACATACGGCACTTTCCAATGAGGGTCGGTTTCTTCAGATTGAAAGAAAATATCATCGGGTAGCTCCTTCGCGCCCTTTTCCACGAACTTCTCAAAGTCTGATTTGGGAATACAGATATCTACGTCATCATCGAAAGGATTATGCCCATTATGCCGCACGGCGCCTACTAAAGTCCCTCTGTAAAGCCAGTATCGAATACCATGTTTTTTAGCTATAAGATCAAAGATTCTTAACATCCTTGTAAGCGCAAGTTGAGCTTGTCGAAGCCGTGTTTTCCTCTGTGACGAATGTCGGGGCAGTTGATCTCGCCTTGAATGCTTCTTTCGCATTGAGCTAAGTTGTTGTAAGCATTTGGCCTCAGGTCGGAATCTGCCACATTTCGTCTTGGAGGTTTCTTTATTACAATTAAAAACCAACTGATTCCCAACGCCAGTGCAACTCCTATCGAGAAAGCCACTTTGCGGGTGTTCATTTTTCTTAACATTCAGTATCTTCTATATTTTCTAAATTTTAGCATTGATACAAGGACAGGTGGTGTTAAGTTGGAATATTCACACTCGATTTCTAACAAGGTTTCGCAGAAGTCGGTATTAAATATGACCTGCCAATAAGAGGCGAACATTTAGCCTGAGAAGCGTTTTACTCCGCTCTCCAAGTCGAACAGACAATAAATAAATGTAAAACAAAACAGGCGTAAAATACAGAGAAGAAACATGTTGTTTTATATTTGAATAATTCCACGATATTTATAAGGTATTACCAAATTAGCAATTACAAGGCTATGCCTAAGTCAAAACGCTAGCTATTTGGTCAGTGAAATTTCTGATTGCAGGTGATTGTAGACAATCATCTCTTTAACCCATAGTTATTAGAGGAGACTGGTTATAAAGAGCGGCAAACATCAATGATAAAAACAACAGTGCTGCAGTTTATGTTCAAAGCACCGTGAAAGTGCACAATCCTTTGTTTTCTGTTGGCAAATTGTTACGGAATAAATTAATGCAACGTTTTTTTATTGGTCAATACAATAGAATAAAAAAATGATAGGAATTGACCTTTTGAACGTTGTGCAGTGAAATGGTCATGATGTAGTAATCTCAATTTCTTTTTTTATAGGTCCACAAAAACATATAACAAAGGAGTTCGTGACGCTAACAGTGGTTTATTTATAACCATTCCTTCTGTCAATTAAAATGTCCCCAGGATGCATTTGATTTAAGTGTGGGGAACGGGTAGGGGGAATTTGAACCAAAAATCAAACTTTAGTAAGTGATGTAGATATAAACTTCAATGATCAGATCAAAACAATTTGAAGATGCATTCAAAATATGAAATGCTAATGACAATAATCTTAGCCTATTTATGTTGACCTTTTGGTCCACCATCCAGGTGTTTAAATATAGATTGAATAAATTAAAAATTTAAATCGATAATGGCAAGAGCCATAATGGCTCTTGACAATGGATATGAAACGAAATGTCTGTATCATTTTTTTTTGCTCCATGCTCGATTTTAAGATTGGATAGTAAACAGTCCCAAACGGCTTTTGTGAGTACGGGAAGAAATTAAATGATGACTCACGAGTGAAATTAGAAAAAATAATTTCACGGACGTTTTGTCAAAACTTCCTAAGCGTTTAAAAGGAGAGGAAAATTATTTCAGTTCTGAATTTTTGGAGCAGAAAAACCCCCCAAAAAGCACCTATTAGCCTCTATTTGCCATACTTAAATTAATTAATGCGGATCCCGAATAGTGCAATGCAAATTTAGCGCTCGATTTTCCTTTTTAATTTTTCGATTTTTTTCTCGCCTTTGGGTTTTTATCCCGACTTTTTCTCGACTTTTTCCTCGACTTTTGAGGTAACTGAATCGATGCTCAGGTTTCAATTAACAGAGGTTGGTTTCACTGTGGTCAAAGCACTTTATAGACGCAACTTTGGAGATGCGAAAAGAAAGGCTTTATAAAAGAAAAGCCCTCTGCGATGTCAGTGCTGGTAATCCAAGACCATTGGATTCGTTGCTAGTGGAACTTGAATTCCGGAATGCCATTGTTAGCGGTGTGGATTCCGGATTAAATGAGCTGAAAATTCCGGATTCCATAACGCAAAAATTTGCTGGTTTCCGGAATTCAGATTAGCTAACATGGAACGAGGAGCACTGGTCCGGCCCGTCCCACTTCCCCGAAAAAAGCCAAACCAAACAAATCAAAACAAAAAAGAATGCTTGATCGCAGTTTACACTAATACCGGACGAAACAGTTGGGGGGATTGAGAAAGCGCTTGTGATCAAGCTTGCGTAGCAAGTTAGAAAAAGAAGGAGAAAAGCGTTGAATTTCGATAATGTACTTAAAAAACGAGAAATTTAGACGCTACTTCCAAGCGCCTGCTACGCAGGCTATGATGCAGAGTCGGCGGAGCGTTTTAAATTGTGAGAGGGTGGGAGGGGCTCATCTCTCACTCAGTAATGCGCATACCCCAGCTCAAATTATTCAAAATGCCCTTTGTGTTGTTCGTTGGCATAAGCAAACCTCTTTTCAATCTTCACAGTGTCTACTGTGTCCTTAATCGATGTGTGAAAATTAGACAGTTGTTCAGTCTTCTTTCATGGCGCTCATCTAGTTCTTCAAGTCGCTGATGTCACAGGTAATGTTAAATCCGTCATCCGTCATCTGTCATCTGTACGAGTTTGTGGACAGTCTCAAAACGCCAAAACGAGAAGGCTGTCCCCCAAATCTTTTGTTTTGGGGGGTTCCTGCCGAAAAACGGCCTAACAAAATTTAATTCAATCTTGGAAGTAAGTAGTCTGCTACTGCCGTTTTTAGTGTCGTGCGCAACGCTCCTCCCCACTAGTGGGGAGGAGCGTTGCGCACGACACTAAAAACTGCTGTGTAGCAGACTAGGAAGCCCGGGGGGGGGGTACTTTAGGAATTTCTGGGTGGGGATGTGCCGCTGGGACCCTGGAACCCTTAACCTATACCAGAGCTAGTTCAGCTGAATTTTGCTACCCTATACTAGAGTAAACTCCCCAAATCCCCCTATCCTAGAGTAGCTGTTTACCTAGTCTAGATAAAATCTTCAACCAACTGATCAGTTTCCTGGAAAATGATACCCTATTCTAGACCCAAACGCTCTGATTTATATACCCTATCCTAGAGTAAACTGCTTGAAAACCATACCCTTCACAGCGGCACATACCTATATAGCCCATATATGGCAGTACCCCCCCCCCCCCCCCCCGGGCTAGGAAGTAAGGACCAACTTATCAAAAAGAAGGACCGAATCCTAATAAAGGATCTAATGCAGTTATAATTGGAAATATAGAAACAAAAGAAGCAAAGCCGATTTTACAGTCGGGAATATATATTTCTTTGACCAATATTTCGGAAGGCACACATTCCTTCTTTAGGGTCTCACATGTTCTTTTGTTTCTAACAAAATCTGTCTTCAAAAAATGTCTATAAAACCCAAATCTTGAAATTTATTCCAAATTGCATGGTATATGTAACACTTCAAACCTGTAATTCAGATACTAAAGATGTACGTGGTTCGTCTCTTTTCAAAAAAACGATAACGACAACTGACGACAGTAGCACTTAGTAGAGTTTGACATTTCATGAGCTTCTTAGAACCGTCCAATTTTTTTTATGCTATCGGCTTAATTTTTTTAAACATTATGACGTAGAAGCGCATAACTGAATGAAATCTCGTACTAGTTCTGATTGGTTAACGAAGCGCACCTACGAAACAACTATCGTCAAATTCTAACACAACAACTGCAAAAACGTTTTTTCTACAACGTCATTTTCAAATGTTTTCAAACAAAAGTGTTTTCCAAAGTGAGCCGGAGGTTCTTCCTTGTTTTGAATTGAACTACAAATTCTTGGAGAGGCATGAAAAACCTCTTTCGCTCGTGACAACGAGAAAGCAAGAAAATCCTGTGAATACGGCCCAGAAAATGGCAAGCAAAAGTTCAACCAAACAAGACGGAGAAGCAACAATACACGTATTAACATTTACCATTTCAAGGTACTTACCTTATATTAATCGCGATGTTAAACTTTCAGTGCCCTCGGACACTTCATTTCTTTCAGTCTCGAGCAAATGATTTGGAAATTTGAGAAAATTATTTATAGATAAACGGCTAATAAATTCATTGAAATACCACTATTTATCCCTGAGATTAGTTTGAAGCTTGTTTAAGAAACAAGCACAAGGTACAAATATAGTTGTCAAGATCGTGTACGACTGACCTTGCTTCCTATTCGCTAACGCAATGACAGTTGTGACAGTCGGACTTTGAAATGGCTTTCGGGAGCGCGCGCTCAGTGTATAAAAAACAAACAATATTATGGCTTTTTTCTTTTCTTGTTGTTTTTATTCAGTTATGCGATTCAAGGAAAATCCATTACCTAACGAAGGAATTCCTCGTTAAATTGCACTTGAAAACCGAAATCGCACTCACCCTTCGCGATTCGTGCGATATCGTTTTTCACGTGCAATCATAGTTATTAGACGAGACTGGTTATAAAGAGCGGCAAACATCAATGATAAAAACAACAGTGCTGCAGTTTATGTTCAAAGCACCGTGAAAGTGCACAATCCTTTGTTTTCTGTTGGCAAATTGTTACGGAATAAATTAATGCAACGTTTTTATTGGTCAATACAATCAAAATGATAGGAATTCTTTTGAACGTTGTGCACTTTCAGGTCCACAAAAACATATAACAAAGGAGTCTGACGGGTTTCATAACCATTCCACTCAATTAACTATGGTGCAATTTAACGCGGAATTCCTTCGTCAAGTAATGAATTTTCCTATATTATCGTTCAGAAAAAATCCTAAAATTTCTTAAAATCCCATTTGACTCTAAAAATCCTAAAGGCCTGGGCACAACGGGACGTCAATATACTACCTGCGGGTGCTTAAAAAATGACAGCTCTGTGACAGCTTGTCTGTTAGATCTATACATAGTTATTAGTTTCATATATAAAGCGATTACGCCATCTCGATCGCCATTTCCTCAACATTTTAAAATTCTTGGATATGCTTTTTAGGTGTACACATGTAAAGAGGCGAAAGAAAAGCTTCTTTATACTGGCTCTAGTCACGTTCAGTGTCGGTTTACTAACTTTAACGAGAACTCCCGTAATGACTCTACATGGAGCGAAAGATTCTGACTTCAAACCAGTCCCGTATACAAGATTAGCTCAGTGCGAGCGAAAACCGCGAGGCGAGATCGACTGCCCCGACATTCGTCGCAAAGGAACAACACGGCTTCGGCAAGCTCAACTTGTTCTTACAAGGATGTTAAGAGTCTTTGATATCATCGCTAAAAAACATGGTATTAGATACTGGCTATATCGAGGGACTTTGTTAGGTGCTGTACGGCACAATGGACACATTCCTTTCGATAACGACGTAGATATCTGTATTCCCAAACCAGACTTTGAAAAATTCGTAAAATATGGCACGAAAGAGCTCCCCGATGACATTTTTTTTCAAACTGAAGAAACAGATCGTCACTGGAAAATTCCGCCTTGGACCGGCATGCTTGGAAAACTACGTGACACACGAAGTTGCTACAAGTCCTGCCGCGGCTGTGGGCATAACGATGGTTTACAAGTGGATATGTTTGTTGTTGAGAGTGACTCTGGCGGCAATTTTGTTGAGATCTACAGTCATTCAAATTGGTTTCTTCGGAGATTTATTTTTGGTCCAATTATACGAAAAAAGAGCGAAATTTTGCCAGTGACAGAAGTCAATTTCGATGGTTTTTCTCTTCCGGCACCGCGAGAATGGAAAAACATTTTACAGTCGCTCTACGGAGATTTTATGATAATTCCACCAAACGAAGAACTCGGTCACATTATTACAGATTCGTTCCACAGTTGTAAAAAATAGATAACTAAAGGTAAGCTTTGGGAAACTTAATCTTTTGTAAAAGTTTATAAGAACCCGTTTATAAACACCAATGAAGCCAATGAAATCCATTAAAGTAGACTGTGCTCTTGATTTCGCGGATTGTAAGCGTAACAGTTCTTGCACCTTGTAGACGTGTAAATTCATTAATTTTTTATTGAAAATGTCTCATGTGACGTTTTCCCTCTGGCTGTTCGTTATTTTGAAATTTTACTGCCTGCTTTCGCAAGAACGCAAGTTGTCGTAACAGCATTTAATTAATAAACATGAATATATTTTACTTGGACTTGGAGTTCATGTTTTACGCTGTGGCAACACGTGTGTGACTCAGACAGGCTAAATACACGGCAATCTGAAAAGACCTAAACTCCGAAAGCCAGCTGAAAAGTTAGAAAGCCTATTATTAAGCGAGAAAGTACATACAACTAGCCTCGACTAGTTTCCCAAAGCAATAAAGTACAGTGCTTTTATTTTGAATCGTCATTTCGCAAGGCCTCTAGCCACCTTGACCTTCAGGGCAACCACGCGGTGATCGCAGGTCGATGGGGGCTAGCGTGACTAGCCTGCGAGCCGCAGACTTATTTCCGGTCGTCGCTTCTCTCCCTCCTTTCTCGGTGGGTGAAACTAGAGCCGAAAAAACCGTATGCTCTCGCAGGCTATAGCGTGACACTTTTTGTTGAAATTCCCTAGTCAATACGGACCACCGGGCATTTAGTGTGATAGTTGTTCGTGAACGTGCATATTTACAACCCAACCTAACCCTAAGTATCGCTCGCAGTGAATGTCTCTCTTCTGCTCGAAAAAACTGCACAGATCATGTTTATATACAGTAATTAAGTTCTAATGTCAATTGCTCAAATCAATGTCATCAATGTGCAAACAAAACGTTACATAACACTCGCATAAAACGTGACAGTTTTCGTGAGTTCAGCAAAATACGTGTAAGAGGATTTTGACACACTGATACTCGTTGTAAAGGCTATTTCAAAGAGTACATAATTTAAAAATTTTGAAAATTGCGTGAGGTAGGATTGCGAATGACATCTTCATCAAGACAAATATGATAAGCTTAAATATTCACAGCCGTAGTTATTCAAATGCTCCAAAACAAAAGCCACCGCCGTGAATTCTTTTGACACAAAGTTGATTGATTGATTGATTGATTGATTGATTGGCCTGAGTTAGTTTGGTCTAAAAATAAGGGGGGGGGGGCTCTCCCCTATATCTGCCACTGCCTTAAATGGGACGAAAAGAATAACTGATAAAGTTCAAATACCTGCAACCAAGGAGGGGTAGCTGAGTCAAGAAAGCACTCAATGATTGCCTCAACTTTTCTGTTAAGAGAAACCTGTGAACAAAAAGGGTTGCATTAAGGCCAATTAATCCGGTTAAACTTAGTGTTTTTCATCATCATTATCATCATCATCATTATTAATTATTATTATCATTATTAGTGTTATTATTATCATTATCGTCAGTAGTACAATTATCATTTATTTATTTATTTATTTTGTTGCGAATTCGTGGCAATTTATTGCAGTCTTCCAAACATCAGCGAACTCTAACACGGGACAAAAGAAATGGATTTGCACAAATTTGCTCCTTGCAAATACGTTGCAAACATGTAAATACTGAGAAGCAAATATATGGCAAACATGGTAAATGCCACGTTTGCCTAGTCATTTTTGGTATGCAATTGTGGCATTTACCATCTTTGCCATATATTTTAATACTCCTCAGCATTTACATATTTGCAAGGAGCAAATTTGTGCACATCCATTTTTTCGCCCAGTGGCGACAACAGGACGGGAAATAAGAAAAAGACGGCAAAACATTGTGTCGTATAAAGCGTGAAAAAAATTTCCACCAAACTTCACCTCGCTTCTTTTAACAGGTCTTTTTGTAAGAGGCCAGAATCGAATCGATCCTAGTTCTTCGTCTACCATACCGAAACGAATTGGAATTTTTGAATTCGCTAAGCTGTAGATATATGGTAACTCTATCTTGTGCCAAAAATCGCCGATAAATCGCATCAAAATTCGAGGCAGTTCAAAATATAAAACTACGACAAACCGCTATAAATGCGCTAGATCACGAGTACACTCGTTTTTATTTAATGCAAGAATGTTGTTTTTCCTGCCCAGGCTGAAAATATTCTTGTAATTTGTTTTTTCAATTACAGCTTATGACATTTGCGTTGTAGGTTTTTTCGTTTTGTTGGCTAGTTTTGCCGTTTAGAACAGATTTTCAGCACACAAAACAGTGTCCTTTTTCTAAATTTCAGCGTGAGGTTTATCCTTAAATTTATTTTCGCAAATTTCAGCCTCGATACTCTTATAAACTATATTCTTATAAAAGAAAGAGTGTAGTCCCTCATGAGAGAGCGTGACAATCGCCATCCTCTGGGATCGCTTCTATTCTCTGTCTTCACTGTCACGCAATCAAAAACAACAAATGCAGACCATTACATACAGAACGTCTAAATTCTGGGACATGAAAGAACAAAAATAGACAAAGATCCTCGCCAAGAATCAGGTCTGTGTGAAATTTTATATGCGAGATATTCGGGAAAAACGTTTTACCTTAGTATGGAAACGCCATGTTGGTGTCCCTTTAGGGGGCACAAATATGGCGGCCGGAAAGCAACAGAACGGTCTTTGAGTTTTCCTCCAAAAGCGTGGAATCATCGCTTGAGGAACTCATAAACATTAAAGTAATATATATTCTTAGTCAAGGAATGCTTAGATAGCAAAATCTTAAAGCGTTCTTAACCCACTGATAAGAGTTTTACCAACCGCCAGCTAAATGCTGCGTCAAGCAAAACAAGAAAAAAAAACCCTTACAATGCAAATTTTGTCGGGGTAAGAGCGTATAGGCTAGATTTGTAATTAAATGGTTATAAATTAGTTTTCCTTCCTAAAACCAATACACGCGCGATTTGAAATTGCTCGAGAAGTCGCTTGCGGTCTTTAACCGCTAACTCTACCAAAAGAAATTAAAGGAACAACTTTGTCATGAAAGATCTTAATCATCGTGGATAATGTGTATTAAGGGTTTAGTTTTATCGTTTGTCTCATGATTGTCACTTTGATATTGATCGCGACGTTTCGACCGCACACTGCAGGTCTTCATCAGGCGATAGTGTCGATTTACTGAGTCGAACTATTTGTACCACCGCGATCAATATCAAAGTGACAATCGTGAGACAAACGATAAAACTAAACCCTTTAGGAACAACTTGGTTACAAAAACCTTATTAGTGTTTGGCAAGTTTTACAACCACAAGGGAATAAAATAAAACCGGACTGGACTCTGGACTATAGACCCTGGACTCTGGACTCTGGATACTGAACTCTTGTAGAGTCCAGGGTCCAGAGTCCAGAGTCCAGTCCTGGTTTTAGCCTATACTCAACCACAAGATAACAACCAATAAATTGAAACAAACAAACAAAACAAAGCAAACAACAAAAATGCAAACTTACGTCATCCATGTAATTGAACAGTTCCTGTAAACAACAAGAAAATACAGTTTTAAAAAATTCAGTGTTTATCTCCGGGGGGAGCACTCAAGAGAAGTTTGGGTAGGGGTGTGCCGCCGATGCCATCAGACCCTGACCCTGTTAATTTCAGACAACAAACGTTCATTTCACCACCCGACTACCCTGTTTAAGGGCCTGTTTACATAGAGGTGGGGAACCCCAGGTATGTGAAGTAACCCGTTAAGGTGGGGTAACCCACCTGTCCACATAATCTCTCATTTTGATCACGTTTACATGATAGGTGGGGTGACCCGCCACATGTTACCTCACCTATCTGGGGTAACCGACCTCCATGTAAACAGGCCTTAAGACAAAAGACCTCATTGAATAAGCCTGATTAATCAAGATCGTAGTTTGAAAAATAGCCTGAGAAAACAGCTGACCTTTGGCGACGCTACCACTGGTTTCCCCGCCAAATGACGTCTGAGAAACGAGAGCAGAAATTCCCCACTGATGACGCGTCACTACCCAGTCGTGCCGCGTGGGAAATTTGATTCAACCAATCAGAATGCACTACCCAGATCAGGGTAGTGACGAGTCATCAGTATGAAATTTCTGCGCTCCTTTCTCAGGCGTCCTTTGAAAAATTGCTTCTTTCTGTTAGCCTGCGTTGCAGGCAGCCCACGCATCGTCTAGACCAAGTCTCTGTACGCGAAATGAATATTCATTTCCTCTCATCGCCAACATTTACACTCTTTTAAAGGATTCCGATCCTAAAAGACAATTGCGTACTCTGTTATCTATTCAGCGGCACATACCTGGTTAGGCCAAATAAGAGAGTGGCTAGGGTTTATTTCAAGTCTGTATGGATTCGAAATGGCTACCATAAGGCCAAGTGGAAAAAGAAAAAAAGAAATGCTCTCTCTACAAATTCTTACCATCCTTAGGGGATCATGAGTTCCTCGGTCAAATATTTGTAAATGAAACGTCAGATGAAACACAAATTTGTTATTTTAAACAACTCGATGCGTCATAAGAACTAGCTCAGTATCTAATAAATGCTTCGCTAGTGTTTTGAAAAAGTAACGAAAGTTACACAGGATTTTAGAATGATTTGTGTGAAAATTAAGCCTTGTTGGCCCCAAAAATGAAGCGGGCGGGCACGAGAAACATTTATTTTCTTTTTAGTTGTTTGTTTGTTTTTTTAACTTGGCCTATGGATGCAAGGACAAAAGACGGAAAAAAAGAAACAGTTTTGTTATTTTAAGTTGTTTATTCGTTACCTTGAACTTTTGCACTTCTAAATAGAAGAGAAGGTCATTTTCTAGGCGTGGAAAGCCGTCAGGTTCGCCGTGGGTCTGAAGGTATCGTCGAAAATATTCCATCTTTATAGACAGTCGACCGTGGACGGACTGAAGAACTTTCTTAAAGTTGTCCTTGTCTTCTTTTGTCGGTGCAGATCGGCCGGTACTCTAATCAATTGAACATCCATAAACAGGAATATCATTATAATTGTTAATAATAATAATAATAATAATAATAATAATAATGATGATGATGATGACCGTTGCTGAGAGCAGTTTGAGGCCATTATAAAAAGGTGGCGGCCGCATAAAGGTTAAAACAAGAGTAAACATTACATCAGCCCCAGCAAGAAAACTGGCAGTTATGGAGAGGTGGCCTTTATATTAGTACTCAGAGGTTCGAACGTATTTAGATAAAAAAGGAAAATAAGTCAGTAACGTCGTTAAAAGTAAAGTTAAACACACCTTGGTCTTTCTTGTTCTTCTTCTGTAAAACTGCAAAAAGCTTTGCGAGCTCTCAAAAGTGTCTGCTTTGTTAAAACTTCCGGGGGTGTTTGGTGTACCCTCGCGCCGGCCACCAGCCTCTTGCGCATGCTACAACAAACAAGGAAGAGAAACTGAGTTCTAAATCCTCAAGTTACTGCACGAAATATTGCCTTACACTCATTTATACCATACAGGGTCAAGTTTAAAGAAAGTTACCAATTTGTTTCAAATCAGGCTTTTTCCGTATAAAAGGGTCAAATTTACTAAATGTAGCCCGAAAAAGGTTTGTAAAGTGAGAAAGAAGGAATTCCCATGTTTTATGTTAATAACGCTCATCTTCCCTGCTAAAAGCCGCCCACACAATGTCAAGAGTGGTAAAAACTATTTTTATACTTTTAGCTTCACCAAACTATATTCAGGTGATTGAGCTTCGATTCGGCTTGATCGCTGAAGTAAAGCTTTCGTCAAAAATGACTTTGACTTGATCAAAAAATCTTAGACGCGCATCCTTCATGTTGATAACACCTTGGAAGTCCACATCGTTACAATGTGACTAGCGTCTTTGATTTCGGTCCGCAGTTTTCATGCCATTCATACAAATGAAAAGTGATCAAAACCGATCAGTTGAGTCCAGGCAGCTTTCGCTTTTCGGGGGAGTGGCAAAGTCAAGTTTTTCTCCGAGTACTAGTCTCCAAACCAAATTCCAAAATTTCAAATCCAAGTGCAGTCGAATTCGCGTGGGAGCCACAATACCGGTAATCCTATCTTGCTGGAACACATCCCGCGTGGAAAGAATTCTTAAGAACTTCTGAGGTTTTCTTTTAGGGATCTCGGGGGAGTTATCTATCTTGGCCTTCGGCCTCGGTAGATAGCATTCTCCTCGTTCTGCCTTATTCTCCACATCCAACCAAAGCCGAATTCAACAATTGTTCAATACTACGTTTAAATAGTGGTTATTACCTTGAAGAAACTCTTGAAGTAGGCCTGTACATCACTGAGTACAAACTGCTGTGCCTCTATAAACATCGGAGAGGTGGGCCGCTCTCCTTCCACTTGGTTAAGTAGAGCCTGGGGTAAGCCCACTGACCTATTGAGAAAACAAACGCGAGGTTTGAGTGATATCTTCTCTGGAAGCAACAATATGGACACTTTATTTTGAACGGTTTCCAACGGAAAAATTAAAATGTGTTGTTTTTTTTTTCTAATAAGCTTATTTAACCTCAAATCTTTGCAATTATCTTACTTAGCAAGAGACAAACTTAGTAGACGCAAAGTACAGCGTTTACCATTTTATTTAGAAGTGGTCGGATAGACAGTCTGAGTGGCGAAGAAAATTTGACCATAAATCACCAGCCAGATCAGTCTATTTTCTCAATACTATGAGCGTCAGAGAGTTTTTAAGCGAAAACGTTCGAAAAAAGTTTGTCTATTTCATTCTCAGAATGACCGGTCAAGCCAGCTAGTTTTCGTGAGATTCGGTAAGCGCCTTCAGACTAAGGAGACAGTTACTGATTGACTGTACTGGATTGATTAATCGACGGGTTGAATGACTAATAGACTGATTGATAACCTTGTTGCACACATTAGAGGAAAAAGCGGAAGGGGGAACTTAAGCGGGCGATAACGCAAAAGACTCACGAGAGGAGAAACGTTCGTTTTCCTCCCTACTCGCGCGCCCATCACGTTCACTCACTCCCGATTGCTACCCTCCTCTTTAACGGACTGACTAAAATACTACGTAATTGATAGTCTGTTTGGTTGAAAAATTGAGATACTGCCTTCATCACTGGTTGACAAATTGAGTGACTGACTAGACCACGGTATGGAAGAATGGGTGGATGGATGGATGGATAGATGGCTGTGCGAATGAACTAATAATACGACGTCCATGATATGGGACGGACTGCTGGCTGGCTGGATTGGGATTGATGGGATTTTGTTACTAACCTTCTGGATGAAGGGTCAAAGTACGTCCTGCAAAAGAAGGTTAAATGAGCGTTAGTTCCCTTGACGGTGATTAACTTGAACTGTGTTTTGACACATTCAGTGAGAGTAACAATGTTTGGGAAGGTGTCGGGTTTTGCCCCATGTAAGCGAATCCAGGTTTCGGAATCCGGGAAATTTTTCATTGTCGAATTCGGAATCTTTAGCTTTGGAATTCGGAATACGGCTCAAGGAATCCAGATCCCACTAAAGATTAGAATCCGTAATCCAAGTTCTACTGACAAAGACCGGAATCCAGTACCTGGTATCCGGAATCCAACAAGGGCCGCAGTGGGGAGGATGTTGGGGCGAAGTGGATCAGCAGGTCATAGAAAGGGGGGAAATGAAATATCCAACTTCAAAAGCCTGCCCTTTTGCTCTTACCAACCGAGTTGCTTTTCCTAAATTAAGTTACCTTTTAAAGAATCCGATCGGTTCACAAACTTTTGAAATAAATGCAAGACAAAATCTTCCGTAATTCCCTGGTTTTCTTTTGGTAATCACTTACATTACATCGATAGTGGCCTTCATGGTGGAAATGGTGATCCACAGCGGCCTTTAATACGCACTCGGGATCAATTGGTTTCTGGCTAACTGACCACCTACCCCTCCTCTAAGTCACAATTTTGCCCTAAGTGAGAAGTAAGTGTTAATGTTGACCTAAGGGAGGGGTAGGTAGTCAGTTACCAGGATATTGATTCAATAAATAAATCAAAAGCTTTATTAATACAAAGTGTTGTTCATGTAGTATACGATTTGGAAACAAATAACACTTACTTGTAAATAAGCGTCGCTTGCTGTGTTTTCTGCATCTTTTTTGCAGGTAAAATAGCGTTGTATTGTTCAATGTCAAGGTACATTAGAAGTTGATTCAGTGCTTGTCTTCCTTCCATATTCTGAACATACTGCTTAAAAGAGGACATAGTTCTGACATAAAAAAAAAAAAGAGGAGAAGATTAGGTCTGTATTTCCAACAACGAACCTGCTATATTGATAGTCGTGTAACCTGGTTCCCAGTTAAGTCCCACAGTCACTGATGGTATATATAAATTGTTTTTGTTCACTGAAAATATATACCTCATTACATTATTTTTCCAAGTAAAATTCATATGCACAGTTGAGTTAGTATAATAACTGGCAATTTCTATAATTCCTGAAGCGTGCTGAATGTTATCGATTCTAATCACTTTGGGACACCTCCAGAATCCTCTTTTCTTTCGTCGTTTACAACGCATGCTCAACAGGTGAACAGGAATTATGGACTTCACCAGCGAAAGGAAGGAATTGGAATGATCTCTCACCCTTTATTCTCTATAACGTCGACAAAATCCGGAGCAGTAGGCTTAACTGGTTCAGCTTGTTTTTTATTCTCAGCTTCAGAGCCTTCATCGGAATCCGCTGATTTCTTTTTCTTGCTGTCAAATGTTACATTTTTCGAGGTCTTGCCTTTCTTCCTGGCTTTTGTCTTCACTTTTTTAGCCTGTCATTGGAAACATTATAAATGGAGGAAAGAATGATCACCTTCTCGTTAGCTCAAATGATATGGCGCTGGTCGGTTAAGGAGGAGGTTGCCATTGAGTTCAAATAGGACAATTGCACGATGACGTCATTTTACTACAACTACCAGAATCCTTCAGTTTGTTGCTTTCTAGTTCAAACGAGGGCCATTGTTTTGTAAACCTCAGCGGGATAGCCTGAATTTCATACCTTTATGGAGTAAGCTACTCGAAGTAATGTCTGAAATTCAGGTTATCAACAGGATTGAAAAAATTAAATAAGAAACAGATAAGAAATGAATTCTGGTAGTTGTAGTTAAATGTCGTCACAGTGAAAAATGGCCTATTCCGGCCGCACCAACAGACATTCACAGGGTCTATTTAAGGTAAAAAATGGATGCAGAGATCATACTGCTTGTGATAAAAACTTTACCTCAGGAAAAAACGCTCGGGGGGGGTAACGTTTAGTCTTTGAGGCCTTATGTCGTTTATCCGTTTCGTATCCGTTTATCAATAAAGGTTGCGCTTGAATCTGGGTTTGTAGTTGTAGTGAATTGCTGAGAGCGACTGTTCTTGCGGGAAGAAAATTTGACCTAGTTTGGCACGCAGCCTCTTAACACCCATTAAAAAGTGCTTCTGTCCTAAAAACACACTATACTGTGTAATTGGAAACAACATAATTCTTACAGGAAGCCCAATACCTTCGTTGGGTGCGGTATAGTAACTTGTCTTGTGGGTGATTCTGTCCTTGGAGAAGAGCGGCTGGCATCGATTTCTTCGGCCATTGCTAATGACGTGTACAACCGCCTCTGTCGCTGGGAGGGCGTAGAACCAGGATGCCTGCAAGACATAAAAGATACCATGTTGGACAATAAAACAGCAATTTTTAATAATTTTAAAAAGAAAATGGTTTTAGCAACTTCTAGCCTGAGCAGCGTGGCGGTTTTTTCGGGCACACTACTGAGCGGCGAGGTCGCAAAAGTGCGCGCGAGCGGTGAAGCTTCGCAATTTCACTGCCCCCCACTTTAGCTTGTTTGTGAGCCCGTCGAAAATCGCCCTGCTACGCAGCAATTTAGAAAACTTGTGACACAAATCAGAGGATAAAGCCGATTTTTCGTCCCTTGAAGCTCGCCAAATTTATATTGCTAAGTGTCTTCAATCTTATTGAAACGATTGCCCGAAATTTACCATGGGCTTTATTGTACAAGAATGCTTCCAGTTGACGTGCGTAGCTCAAAGACGGCTTTGCTTAATAAGCTTCTTAGTATTCAACACCTGACAGGGACAATCTTTGACGGATGATGGTGATGGTGATGGTGTTGATGATGATTATAATGATGATGATGATTATTATTTGCCCTGTGAATAAGAGTAGAAGCAAATTCCCTTCTCAGCACGACCAATCAAAAGTATTACCCAGATCTGGATAATGACACGTCATCATTATGGAATGTGGGCTCGTTCCTTTCACGTCATTTCGCAGGGACGCCAGTGATGGCGTCGCGAAATGTCGGCTATCCATTTACAAGAAGTGTTACCTTTTCACCCATCGTCCTGAGGTAGGGGAGAAATAGCGGCTCTTCTCTTCTTTATCACTTGCTGCATTGGACACGCCGTCAAGAGATCCTTTGCCTTTCAAGGGGCTAGGAAAAGAATTAATAGCACACCTGTAAGCCTCAAACGTGAAGAAATTATTTCCCTCTTTTTTGGAACTCAAACTTAGAGTTATAGTCATTTGTCATCAAACATACTTATCAAACGTCTGCTGTTCGTGCCGTTTAAAGGCTTCCCATGATGGTTCGAGCTTTTTGGACGCGTGGTCCTGTAACAAAAAAAAGCGTCATTTTGGTAGACTGTACTTGGACAATGAGTAGCGTTTACATTACATTATATTTCTTTGCAGATCATTTGGCATTATCTATATTATTCAGTTGGGTAAGAGTATCAGTAGTTTATGACGACTACATGTCTAACCAACACAACACCATCACTACTGTTTAACTCTGACAATAGACGGATCGAAACCCAGCAATGACATTACGAGTCTTCATAGCCAATAACATCACGGCTTAACTGATAGACGACCAACAACATCGCGATTTCATTGATCAATCAGGACGATAACCAGAGTTTGATACCATCAACTGACGTGATACAATTTACTTTGACTCTGAAGATGACTACCGCACAGGTTGTCAAAACGTCAGTCACTGTTAACAAAACAGTCCTATTCAGGACTACGTTCACCTAGACGATCATACTCAAACTACTTATGAAACGACTCCTGGGTTCGAACCTTTCACTGAACCCCATCGCTTTTTATTTTCTCAAGCAAGCACGTTTTTCAGCGACGCACATCAACCGGAAGTGGACTGTGTTTACATTCTCGTGCAGTTGTTTTGCCCAAATTTTTCGGTCAAATCGCGTTTATGAGACTAAAGACGCTCATCAATCAAATTTGGAAGTGCTATGGCGAAGTAAAAGAGAAAGGGGCTAAGTGCCGATTAACCTACATCACTCAAAAACGCCTTTGCTTAAGCTCCCCATTAACTTGACCTCTCAAATAGCTACAGTTCTACTCAGTGACTACACCTCCGCCTCTCCTCCTCCCCTCCCCTTATACAGGAGTGCTCACTCCAAGGGAGGGAAGAATAGTAGCCTTGGGAACGAGGCTAGAGACTTACTTGAGCCGGTTTGAAGAACGCCAGCGGTAAATCATTGGTTGAATGAAGAATACGTTCTAGCCGCAGTCTCTCGGGTTGAAGTAATCCAATACTCATTTCGCACTCTAGTTTAAGAGAAATGAATGTCAGTGTACAGTAATTATTGCTGTTGCTTAATTTAAGGAAACACGTCACGAATTACAGGTCACTGAAGAAGGTCTTTGCTCGCTACTCTCGCCTTGAGCTCGCCGAACGCAAAAGCCACATATTATAGAAGGCTGTGGAAGATCCACGGTGGGTACTCGAAACACCCACCCTAATTGATTACGCCTACTTCTGCCGTATTCGACCGACTGCGTTGATGAAAAAACAGCGAGAGAGTAGATGACATTAAAAACAAACAAACAGAAAACAAACACACAAGTCACCAAGGAAGGAGAAAGAGCAGACAACCAAGACGAAATAAAAAGAAAAAAAATTCGGCACTTACCATTTGCAATGTATTTGTTAAAAATTGCCCAGGCATTAACCAGTCGAAGGTACCGGTCACCTGACCTCTTTTCAGCAGCGTTGAAATCGGTGACATCCAACCAGAAGAGAAGACAAAAGAGCAACGTTTTGTTATCACTGGAATTACTGAAAACAAAACAAACAGAAATTTATATCGATCGACTAGATAATCCGGGTCTTTTTATATTAGAGAGACCTTTAGTTCCGGGAGGGTGCTACTGCCATATATGGGCTATATAGGTATGTGCAGGGCTCCTGGTATGTGCCGCTGTGAAGGGTAAGGTTTTCAAGCAATTATAAATCAGAGAGTTTAGGTCTAGAATAGGGTATTATTTTCCAGGAAACTGATCAATTGGTCGAAGATTTTTAGTCTAGACTAGGGAAACCGGAAATTGCCTCTCAAGAATATAAAAAAGGAGTTTAGCCTAATATTGGGTAGCAAAATTTACTTGAACTAGCTCTGGTATAGGCTAAGGGTTCCATGGTCCCAGCGGCACATCCCCACCCAAAAACTCCTAAAGTACCCCCCGGCTTTAGATTCTAAGATGATTACGAGGACGAGATTTTCTCAATACTAAGTAGTGCGTGCGGGTGAACCAGTGTCATTTTGGCGGGAAAACGGGATAGGCGTCGTCATTCTACTACGGGTTTTAGAGAGAATGTCATAGTGGCGGGAACAAGTAATCAAATGTTTCAATTTTAATCATTTTGCAGCCGGGAAAGGGCTAAACCTTCTCCAATGAAAATAACCGCACTAATTTTTCGGGTGAAAATAACACAATGAAGCTTTCCGGGTTGAATAGTTTTCGAGAAAAAATCTTTTTAAGTTAAATCTCGTACTCGTAGTCGTCCTTGTCCTCAAATCTAAAGCTCTCTAAAAATCCTGCCCTGGGAGCAGGTGAGTCGAGCCGAACCCAGATATCACCAAGAAGGCCTGTTCGCGGACGAGATAATTAGATGATGATTACGTATTTTGTCTAAATTAACACCAAGTGCATACCATTAAATATTTGTAATTTAGAATTATAGAGAAACCTTACTTTTCCAGGTAGCGTTTGAACGGACAGCCGGCTTCTTTTTCACCACGAAGTGCTGAAACAAAATGGTCTTCGCTTCTAAAAGAAGAAAATAATATCACAAAAGGGTTCTTTAGAAACTGCATTGATCTTTAGCAAGAGCGGTAGAAAAAAGTACGGTCTAAAATTTTAACTACGATTGGCGATCGGAGTACACTAACTATCTCTGCCCCTCTCCAACCACCTCATTAAAGTTGGCTAGTTTGTGAACGTTTCCCATAAGCATCTTGAGCAGTAACACCGCATTGCTTAGGGGGAGTGGGGAGCGGACGGCTTGGGAGTTTAATGAAGAAGTAGATAGTGTCGAAAACAGGGGAAATGTACTTTTATAAACCTTTGTATAGATCAGCAAAGTGAAGCAAAGTTTCTCGTCTAATCAAACAACACGGGCTACTAAGAATCGAACTAGGACATGTGTACTTCATGAAACTGTACAATGACATGTATTGTTACAAACATCCAAACTTTTGGTTGTAACAGCAACAACAACAATAATTGGAAGGAAAAATAACGAGAAACAAGAAACCAGCCTAAGGCCCTGTTCACACTAATGCGTTTTTAAAGGTATGCGTTTCCGTTGTGATCGAAAACGCATCGATCGAATTGCGTCAAAACTACAATTTTGATGGGTTTTCGACTCTTCACACCAAAACGTTCGAAAACGATAGAATTGCACGTTCTGACGTAAGTTGAACTCTATGTGCAGGCTATAAAGATACGCACCTGCGATATTTTCGGTCATCGTTTTCATTTTGATGCGTTTTCGACCGTTTTCGACCGTCCACTCTAATACGATATGAATGCGTTTTCAAAGTGACCCACTTTCAAGAGCGTTTTCAAATCGATGCGTTTTCGATGAAAACGCTTAGCGTATTAGTGTGGACGGAAAGCCTAAATGTATCGAATGTATGCGTTTTGAAAGGAAAACGCGCTAGTGTGGACAGGGTTTACGTTCAACACTTACACTTCCGGTATTCGACTTAATCTCCTCCGCGCGGACTTGTTTCTGTTCTCCTTTACCATGATGTCACGATTCCACTGGCGTGATCGAACAACCTCTCTGCACCACTCTCCCAGCGGCGGCAACGAATGAGCAAACGATAGCGTTGGGAAGAAGCTGAGGCCTGATGGAGGGCGATTTAGATCATTGAAGCCCATGTACTGGTCTCTAGAAAATTTAAAGAGAATGATTATAAACAGAGCACGAAAATGGCTAATGAGCTAATTAACTAGCCTCCCACTAGAAGAGCAAGAAGAACGCATTGCCTAGCAAGCTAGCATTTTTTCGGTCTAACAGATCAGCATAATAATTATTGATGTGCATACGAGATGATTGAAATTGACTATTCATTGACGAAAGTGATCGAAGACAAGATCTTTTGACCCAGACCCCTCCCTTACAATTCACTTTCAAGTTCATTCTTCCCTTACCCAAAGTCACTATTTCTTTCCACATGAACGAGAAATCTTGGGATCCAGTAGGAACGTAATCTTCTCAGCATGTCATACTGGGTCCTCTTAAATAGGTCCTGCGTCAGGCCGCCATGAAAAAGGGCCCTCTCGATTTGTTCCTGTTAAAAGGGAGCCATAGCCAATTATTGAAGGGACGTTAAAAGTCAAATTAACAGTTCAGGTAATAGTACCATGCGGCTGAATACCATTTTCCTTATTAGTCTCCCCTGAATGCGGTTAAATATTCAACCAGCGAGTCAAAAGTTTACATTCATAATGCATAAAAATAACATAACACCACTAAAAACATCTCACGGGGGCACCCAACGTCAATTCTAGGAAAATATCTGTTCGGAAGACGATTTGAGATCTAGAATTTTCGGAACATTTGTTGTAAAATTTCTTGCTTGCCTGCCTCTCCTAGGATTTTCGAACATCTAAAAAATGGTATAGTTGCCCATTTTTAACGGGTTTTGATCCTAAAAAGGTCACCTAGAATTTTCAGGAGCCTTTTTTCTAGCTGAAATTTTTGAAAAGGAAAGTTTTGTTCCCTATAATTTTCGGATCATTAGACTTTCAGCTAGGAAATCCGAACAGATGAAAAATTTTTAGAGAATGAAAATATGCCTATATCTACCGTTTAAATACTAAAATACTTTTTAAAATGCTATGTTTAAGTGGTTTTGAACTATATTCTCGTTGGTGCCCCTGATCTCAGCAGCTTCTAGTTTGGATGGTCACAGTTTGAGATAATATAATATTTAGGATTATTAAATCATAAAGCTACTTTTCGCATGGTAAAATATACGTTTTGTGGAATTCGAAGGAGTGTTCAGTAGCTTGCGCGAGATTGATAGCTAATTACCCACTAATTACGTACAAGAAAACCTATGGTCAGAATTTTAGCCACCATCAAGAGCCAACTATTGCTAACTTACCTTAGCGTCAGATGTTAAAACGTTCTTGTATTTGTCCTGAATCTCCCTGTTGAAGAATTTAAACAATATGTCACACGCCATGTCCGAGATAGTCCGGGGGGGGGGGGTACTCCCATACATTACCTATACGGGTATGTGCCGCCCAAAGGGGTCGTGATTTTGAAGCTCCTGATTTAGAACGGGGTATCCATTTCAGACGCGTTTTCTAGAAAGGGGTATAATATTTCGAACGCACAAAAGCTCCACTTTTGTAAGCAGCCATTTGAAATTATTCAAGGACAGATTGCTTTTAAAAATACGGTTCAATGCGTTAACAAGCAAACTGTTGTACTCTTCAGTTGCACCCTAGAACGGAGTATAAAAAATTGGCCCATTTCTAGAACGGGGTAGCAGTTTTAGGGCGAATTCTAGAACGGGGTATAAAAAATTGGCCCATTTCTAGAACGGGGTATCAATTTTAGGGGAATTTTTTTTTAGAACGGGGTGCTAATTTGGAGTCCCGGGCGGCACATACCCACCCAAAAAATACCCAAGTGCCCCCCCCGGGGAGATAGTCTCCTTCGTGGCCGTTCTTTGTGTCGTCACTCAACGCTCCTCCTGTGGGAAAGAATGTTGCGTGACAACACAAAAAACGGCTGCGTAGGAGAGTACGCCCAAAAGTCAATAATCAAAGAAAATGTAACCTGTAAGCACGTTACATTTTCAAAGATTTTACATTCTTAAGGATTTTAGTGTCGACGTGACCAGTTGATTTAAAAAAAAAAGGTGGACAGAAGCGTGTTATAAAGCACTGCACTCAAGTAAAATTCACAAAAACCCAGCTTTCTACTATAAACACGACTGTGGAGTTAAACTCAGGAACATCACCGAGAAGCAAATCCAGCTTGTACAGAGCGAGACAATAACACGGGACACCCTGACCACTTGGCTACCCTTTATAGGCTAGGAGAACTTGGTTTTCCTGTGCAAGCCAATCCAATTTTGTAAACGTTGAAATGGGAGCTGCGCTCCTTCATTTTATTTTGGAAGGAAAAAACTCTTTGGGACGAGGTTGGGGAGCACAGTACAATACTCCAGAAGTTGGTAATCCTGTGTTACCTGAACAGTCTTGTTCTTTGTTCTCGTAGAGTGTCCTCTGGTTCGGATTCCAAGCTGTCTCTGTAACGTTCAGCGTCCAGCCAGAAATTAAACAAGGGTTTGCCAGACGTTTCGTCCAGGAACTTCTTGAATAGCTCCATACCTTGAAGCTAAGCCAAAAGAAGGGATTATTCGTGAGATAAGCTGATGAAAATCACTTAAATTGAGGAGAGGAGCGGAGATCAATTAACACTGAAAAAAAATGGAAGGCCGCTTCTCAAGCCTTTGCACGCCAGGTGCTCTTGCACGCTGTTCTGGCTGTTGTTTTCTGCCGGCCCAGTATTGAAGGATACACAAAGTGGAAGGTGTTAAAAAAAACCTTTTTCCTTACCGAGCCCAGCACTTCCCTCTTAAGTTCTTCAATTGTAATATGATGTTTATTAGTGATGTTTTTCACTTCTGCCTCCGTTTGGGCTTCGTCAAGTTCGTCTTCATCGAATTCCATCACAGCGCCAAGCTCGTTATCCGGGTTATCTGAGCCATCCTCTTCCGGTTCTAAGATTTCTTCCGGTTTGGATTCGACTTGTTCGTTCCTCTCCTCATCTAAACGAAACAAAACGAGAAAAAATCACTTGGTTTGTTTCTTTCTCAATCTTTTCAACCAGCAGCAATCATCGGCTACTGACACAACTGAAGTCTGAAACGCTACGCATTTGAGGGGAAGCCTCTCCGTATAGGACTTGATAGGAAGTACCCCTCTCCGGGGTACACCTCATGTTAGTCCCCTACGTAGCCGCCTTCTGTGTGTAGTCGCGTTGTAACGCTTCCGATACAAATAACGGCTGCGTGTAAGGCTAACCTCTTAGCATCTTTCTCGTTGGTACGCTTAGAAATCTGATAATGGTTTAATTATTTCGGCTAGAGAGGACTCATTGATGTGCTCACTAGTCGAGGTTCCCCTGCAAAAGGGTTCTATAATCCTGTCATCCCGACCCAAATTAAAGCTTAATCCCTTAATACACACCTAGACGTAAGCGTGAAAGCGAGGCCTAAAGGCGGATTTCCACTATTGCGTGATTCTTACGTGCTTACGCACGTAAACAACACAGAGGCAATGTATAAAGTGTAGCTCGTAAACGTGAAAGTTGAGCGAGGTTCAATGTTTACGTTTATCTGTTTATGGCCTTTCATACACTGCCTCAATTTCCAAGTTATTTACTGCACGTAACGTTTGCTCGCGTACGCACGTAAAAATTACGCGACAGTGGAAATCCTCCCTTAAGATCACCAGATTTTCCGAAAGCTTCCAAAAATGTTAAATAGGGCGGAAAAAACAAGAACGATTTGTGATTTAGAGATTAAAAATTAACCTCACAAGATATTCCTGGCGCAGTTATAGTAAATGAACCTGCGGTGGAAACTGGAAAGTGGAGAAACTAACCTTCGGCAAGAATATATCCTTCGGAAATAAATAAAACGTCCAGGCTTTCCTATTATCGGAACGATTATTACAAAGCGCAACAGCGCAGCATTTGTGAGAACTTTTTTTTGTCGTAGTTGTGAGGTGCACTTCTGCAACTTTATAAAATTTAATTTCGATGCAACCCTTAGGCCTCGCTTTCATGCTTACGTCCAGAGTGACTGTGTATCCTGATGGTTGTTTTCGGCATCTTCGGCATCTCGCCTCACGTGTATCAAACTCCAAAGCCAGGAAAAAGCGCCCTGGGGACGAGGTTGCACGTGCGTACTTTCAGTCCCTAGCCGTGATTACCCTCACCCACCTTTTTGATTTGAAATCTCGAATCCCGAAAAACCTACTGGGACCCTGTCAGTCAGCATAGAGTTCCATATTAGATAGGGTCAACTGGGCATTAAGACGCACAAAACGTAATACCTGAATTTCTGTAAATTGTTCTTTCTATAAGCGTGACACTTTTAGCCCGTGGTTTGCGCTGTTCAGCGGCGTTTCCTTCGTTGTCCTTTGATTGGTCCTTGAGGTCTCCACCGTTTGAATGAGTCACGCCTTTATCGGCTTCGTTTGGCGCTTCAGAAGTTACGTCTCCTTCAAGAGTACAATGTAAGATTTGTTAGATCATTTGATCTTTAGACTACAGCTAGTACATATGTATAACAAATTGTTTTTTTTTTTATTTAGATTGGTTACGCAATTTCCATTTTGTTTGGTGCCCTTGGATTCCCGTCCAAAATATTCCAAACCATTTTCCACCAAATACTGTACAATGTACAGGTAGAATAAAGCGGAGTAAAACTAAACCTTCTCGTGGCTAGCGCACATTTATTTTTTCTCACATGAATGCCCGGGCAAACATGGAGACATGTTCATCAGACCAAAACATGTTTCATGGGCGCGCAAGAAGATGGTTAATTACGTCTTGATTTCTAGCCGCAGCAATAAAAATAAATAAATATATGTTCTATATAGGTATGTGCCGCTGTGAAGGGTAAGGTTTTCAAGCAGTTTATACTCTGGGACAGGGTATATGAATCAGAGAGGTTGGGTCTAGAATAGAGTGTTATTTTCCTGGAAACTGATCAGTTGGTTGAAGAATTTTAGTCTAGACTAGGGTTGAACCGGGAATTGCCACTCAAAAATATAAAAAAATTAAATCAGCTTTTTTCTGGCTGGACTGTGCTAGTGACCTCAGTAGTTTCTAGAAAACAGCTACTCTAGGATAGGGGGGAGGGGGATTTGCGGAGTTTAGTCTAGTATAGGGTAGCAAAATTCACTTAAACTAGCTATATGGTCCCAGCGTCACATCCCCACCCAAAACTTCCTAAAGTACTCCTCCCGAAGGGCCTCTTCTGGGGAGTCTCCACTCGTAGTGTCCCTATAATTTCCCGTCGTTATAATTAAACCCCCGTCGGTTTCTCACCTTCTTCGTTTTTTTCCTTCTCTAGTTCTTTGTCGCTTTCGTTTTCCTTTCCTAGGCTTCCTAGTGCGTCTTCCGACTTATTCTGCTCCAAACCCAAATTCAACATCCCAGGTAAACTTGTCGCACTTCCTAACGGCCTCCTCCCAAAGTGGCGCATTAACATTCCAGGCCATGAATGGTTTGAGCTTCGGCTGGACGGACGGATACCGTAATTACCAATAGGGCTATATATCGTACAACTTGTAGCCCGGCTGTAACCGCGGAGACCACGGCTGCTGGCTCGAGCGGTGCGCGTGTCTAATGTGCGTAAGAGAAGACGACAGAGCTTGTACTCGAGGTAGAGACGGGTCCTAACGCAGAAAGAAATAATTTAGTAACAGCTGACATACATATAAAAATAGGCTGAACAAATACAATAAGCGTGTACCCTGAGTACCAGTGGTTTGTTATTCTCGCGTGCGGGGATTGATAGCGCGGACTAAATTTCCGGGTCGGTCACAGGCCGATTTGTCTTCGTCTGGGGCCGAGAAGGCCGAAACAATGCGACGAGTGAAAGACTTGACGGAAATCGGAAACCGCGCGTGAAAAGTCTCTTGCACCGAGGGTAATAAGGGTGTTATAAATGTTATTGAAATTTGACTTTTCTTACGCGGTCCGTATTAACTGATGAGAGATCTTACTCAAACCTAATTGACAGTAGTATCTTTTTTGCAAAACCTGCTGCATCTTTCTTTTGCAGACGGCGCATTAGTCTCCCACGCAGCCGTTACTGTCTCGTCACGCTGCTCCTCCCCATCGTTGCGTGACGAGACATAAACGACTGCTTCGGAGACTAACGGTGCACCTTCGCTCCCACGTACCCTCGCTACAGGGGTCCGTTCTCGAAATACCTAAGATGAAAGCGAACTATCAGGAATTAGACAAGAAAAAAAATAACCTCTAGAACCCAGGGTACCTCCCACGCAGACTTTCTTAGGGTTTTGTCACGGGTTCCTTCCCTCTAACCGAGTTGTTGAGGAAGCTTAAGACTGCGTGACGAAAGAAACAAAAACAAAACAAAAGAACTTCTGCATGGGCCGTGGGAGGTTAGTCCTAGGGCCTGTTTATATGCCGGTAAACGAGTTGAGCCAGCTCAGTTAGCCGGGCTGGCTCGTGTCGTGGCTAAAGGACTTAAAGGGTTAGTAAACCTGCTGTACGAGTTCCCGCGGCCAGCGGTAGCATTCCCGCCGAAAACTATGCGCGATTGTTGGAGGTTCCGCACGCGACGCGCGCGCAAATTCGCCACGTTTTTTTTGCGCTTGACAAAACAATAGTTTCAGAAAAAACAACCTCGAGACATGAGCTTTTCCCTGTCTTCCAGGTAAGATAACTCCCACTGCCCCAAATTTTTATTTTTTATTTTTAATTAGTATCCTGTAAACGCAGATTTAAGTCTATATTTAGCTGTCGCTCTTGTCTGTTCGGGGACGAAGCGAGTAGGCTTGTAATAGCACAGCCGAATAGCTAGCGTGCGATTTCCCTCAGAACAATGCAAATGTGGGTCCAAATTTACGACAACAGCTGCACTTGCATTGCATATTGTGAAAAAGCTGCAATTTTCACGATGTACCACAGGGTCACCACTTGAAGCTTAGGAAGAAGCTTCTTATGTTTTTCAAATGTGTTTTCAATTGTCTCCTTGAAGTTCAAGTATCCGAAAAGTTACGGTGTGTGTTTAAATGAAAGTATCAGGAATAAGGGATTTAGCATTTTCAGAACCAAAAGCTTTTCTTGCATGGTCTATGCATCAGCCATTTCCAGCTGTGCCGATCACCCTCCCAGGCTTCTGCAGGGCATTTTCCCGCCTTGTCAGCCCAGGAGGGGCATAGGCACAGCTGGAATTGACTGATGTATTACAGTGATGGTAAAGGAAATTTATTTAAAAATATTATCTTGTCATTGACACCATCTCTGTGAATTATCCAGGAAAAATCGACAGCACCCATGCCAGTATATATATATAGGAGAGTTCTCTTCAAGTAAGGGAATCCATGACAGTATTGGAGTTTGGGTTCCACTTCATGGATTCTGGATTCCAGCTACAGGATTCTTTGTCAGTGGAACTTGAATCTGGATTCCAATATTATTGTTAGTTGCATTCTGGATTAATTTACATGTAGCTGTATTTCGGACTCCAAAGCCCAGGATTATGGATTTCACAACAACTTTCCAGATTCCGAGATTCTCCAAGCAAAAATTTCCTGGATTCCAAGAGTGTGGATTCCCTTACACACTCCCTTCTTTGTAATACATTGCCATTAACAGAAAGAAAAGACTGCTAATGTCATCTTTTGGTTGTATTCATTAAGCTCGGAGATCAGTATAGAGCATCTCTGTGGGTACTGGTGGATGTTCTTTTCGTCTTGAGTTTTCCACAAAATTGTTTGTTTTTCAACAAAATAATGAAATATCAAGAATTGTTTTGCATGGTAATTCAGTGTACTAGCGAGCTAGAACATCCAGCTGTAACAAATACAGCAGAAACAAGAAAATAAGAAAAGAAACAGGTTTAAAAAACAAAACAAAAACTCTGAACATGCATCAGACTTTCTGGCAGATCTCTTTGCCCTAGTTGCATGTCTAACATTGTCAAACTTGATAAAAAAGGCAATGGTATTGTTGCTTTAATTTCTTAGTAAGATCAGGGCTGTCCTTAAGTCAAGACGCCAAAGTGAGGGATTTCCCTGCTACTAAGAATGCGGCCCCCAGCTTTTTTCATAGGAAAATAGAAGAAAAATATAACCAAAAGAAATCCCTAGCTGTTTGATTCCCTGCCTACTTGTTGTATATACCTGGCAATTTGAAATCTTAGTGACAGCCCTGGTTGGAAATACATGTGCCCATAGATAGACTCAGTATACAAGGGTACCACTGGCTGCCACTATTGGTTCCTTAATTAATTTTTATGAGCTTACGTTAGCCTGTTCCAGTTGTTCAGATAACAGAGTGAGGTGTGACCCTTCCCCTTTCCCCCTTCCCTGTTTTTGCTGCTCGCATCTCTTTGCACCGTCCCCAAAATCTGATTCCCTGGAACAGGCTAAGCTAACTTTTACATGTTCATTCATGACTGTATGATGTGAGAGGTAATAACACTGGTAGGGGTAGACCACCAGGAAATTTTCCCCCCCTAGACTTTTGATGGGACTGTCATTAAAATTTCTTGTTGCCAGGTGCATAAGGGTATGCCAGGTTTAGTAGCTTGAGAATTGAACAGCAGCATGTAGGAAGTCTGGTTTCCTTTTGTTTTTTCTGAAAGTGTTTGGCAGGGGGCCTGCTCATAGAGATTAGTTATTGGGGGAAATCCAGCTTGGCCCCCTGGCCCTTATTGATAGCCTTGTTTCAAACAGCAAGGTGGGTTGTCATTGATTATGCAAGCATAGCAGGATGTTCATTAGGCATCGGAGATCAGAGAATTCTCTGTCAACTATGCAGAATTCTGTGGCTTAAAATAATGTTCAGTAGCTTATGACTACTTTTTATTCAGACGTGAAGCCCCTTCCAAAATATTCTCCTGTAACATTACACCTTTCTCCTGCTACGAGAATTCTTAGTCAAAACCCTGGCATGGGAAAGAAACTTCAAATCCAACTTTGGAAACCTTTGTTTCCTGCAATTCCCTTCAAAACTTACTTTAAGAATAGTGGTAGTCTTTCTGTCTTAACCCAACATGCGACCTTTTCTCTCTTTTTTGCTTCGGCTTCAGCATCTTGGCTCGGATGTGGTTGATGGAATTCTACTTCTGTCTGTCCTGTAAAAACCTTGAAGGAACCTGATAAAGGATCATACTGCAACTGCTTGGAGAAAGCCTGTACAATGGACAAAAACCCTAAAGGTGAGTTCATAAGTCAGAAAGATTTTAAAGTAAGATTAAACCACAGTTTCAAAAAAATGCACTTTATTTGAGTGTCTAGTCAATGTATTTAGTACGAAAGTACTAATTGGGGACACAATTTTTTTGTCTCCTACTGGAGACGGGACTTCCATTTTGCGGAGTCATCCTAGCCACATGAAGGTCTAGCCATTTGCAGGGCAAAGGCAGTACCTTAGTTCATTTCTCAGTTATTTTAAGATCCTGGGTATTGGTCTGCTCCCAGGAATATAACCTGCAACCTCCTGCTACTGCAGTCAAGTGCTCTACCGACTGAGCTAATCCTGCGTGGTCTACTAGGTTACACATGATGGTAGCTTAAAAAATGGTTACTAAATAGATTTTTCTTAAGTATAATGGATACCAATAAATTTGAAATTTTTATTAGTTTATCAGTTAAAATTTAGAAAATTTAATGTGCATGTAAATTACATATATACATGTATAACAATAATTCTTTTCTTGTTTGCAATGCATATAAAACTTTATACTAGAAATAACCTGAAAGGTTAGGGAGTGTGAAATCAAAGGTTAAAACCCTCTTGCTCAGATGCTATGCTTTGTGAAAGCCAGCTGATCTGACAGGAGGTCAAAGTGCTTATACAGTATGGGTGATAGAGGGTCCAAATATGAGAGATCAGTTTGCATTCTATAACCTGGATTCCATTCATTCTTAGTGGAAGTCCAAACAGAATGCTGGCTATATACATATGGCTGCACATGCAATTGCATGCATTATAGCAACCAGGAGATTTCAATTTTGGGCCCCTTATGTTGCTTGCAATATTATTTTATTCAAAAGTTCTTACCGGTAGGGCCAAAAAGGCATTGAAGTAGTCTAGAAATATTTCATCATAAGCAAGCCTGTCTTCAAGTGTCTCCTCTGTTATTCTAAGCCCTGAGGAAGTTTAACAAATCATTTGATTGTTATTCTTCCCTATAAGTACTAGGGAACAGTGCATATTAAATGTACATATATGGGATTATAACCTGTTGGTCCCTTGATCGATAATGCTTATGAAGGTCACATGATAGTGACTAAATTCAACTGTATCCCCTGCTACAGCCATGAAACATAATATGTATTTGTACTACTTACTAATAGCGCATAGGATACAACATTACTCATCAATATAATGATTAGTATTGCATACGTGAAAATAATTTACCCCTCGAGTGGCATATATTGCATCTACATGTACATCCCAGAGCTAAAAAAAATGTCTCGTCCGGTAGTCCAGGCCAAGAAGATTTTCTTGTGGAGCAAGTAACTTTTAAAGCTTTCTTGCCCGGTCCAGGCAAGTCATGCTCTAAAAAATAATTAACTAAGATGAGCTAGAAGTGGCTCCAGAAAGTAAAAATATGAGAGCTGCGTGCCAAAAGGAAAAGCTTGAAAAATTTATTCAACTTTTTTCAAGTCCTGCATCCAATTGTAAAATCCTAATCAGAACAGTTTGTGGGTGTCATATACAAAATATGTATATATTTAAAAAAAGGTGTTATAGCAATGAAAAGAAAAAAAGGCATTAGTGATTGGGGTGGAGTGGGGGAATGGTGTAAGAGTTGGCAATGAAGGGAAATTTGGATACCAGTAGGGGTGACCCACTTAAGGGCTGAGCCAGCTGGCTTGATTGAGATGGCTAGGTGCCTGGGTGACTTAACTTCCTCTCTTGAAATGGGCTCTTTATCAGTTTTACAAAGCAAGCTGCAGGCCGTCTTTGACCTCACTTGAGCAGCATGCAAAGGAAGTAAGTGTCTGACAGCCTGGGGCTAGTGGATTTTGCTCCTAGGGAGGTTAACTTGGGTTCATTTTTGCTGGGTATGTGCCGCTGGCCTCTCCTGCAGAACCCCTTCCCCATTATAGTCTATTCTGTAGCCATAATAGACCCCATCTCAGTCACTTTAGGGGAAAAAAAGTAATATTAGCAGTCCCAGCTTAGTCACTTTCTGTTTATGTATCTACATTATAAAGCCTTTTAACTTGGTCATCCTTAAATTAACTGCAACAGCATCCAGTGGCACATACCCATAAGTCTACTACTAGGAAATACCCCCTCCTCCGGCCCCTTCCTGCAGGATTTTGCTATTGGGCTTGTGAATTCTGTTCTTCTTTAACTTGCCCCTATTTTTAAATCCCTACATACCTTATATTTTGACCCCCAAAATCCTCAAAATGTGCAATCCCATTGTAGTAACTCTTATAAAAATGCAACCCCTTAATAGTCAATCCAGTTGTGAAAATGCGACAGCATCCAGTGGCACATACCCATTTAGTCTACTACTAGGAAGTAACCCCTCCTCCGGCCCCTTCCTGCAGGATTGCTATTGGGCTTGTGAATTCAGTTCTTCTTTAACTTGCCCAACAGGCAAGTGAAGTTTTTTTGGTAATCCAAATTATTACATAAGAACTATAATCAATCCTTCTTATCAAACTTGACTTTTGGGTTAATGCATGCTAGCTACAACTTGCCCAAATGCAAGCTGTAAAACTGACTTTTTGCACCCTACTGTATCTGTTACTTCCGGTAAGCCTGGATCCCATGATAAACATGCCTTCTGCTATCAACAAGAGGCCAATCAAATTAAATACTTAACACTTACTACTTTTCTGCATGACTCCAGATAATAACCAAAGATGTTTTTTTTTTTCGAGTAAAGTGGCAAAAATTGGCAAATTATACAGTTATGAAACGGCTCAGTATATACAACGGACTATATTGAGAAGCCTGCTGCATTTGAATTTAGGGATCGATCTGTGATCAATAAACTGCTCTATGTTCTTCAAAAGCTAACTATGAAAATTTTAGAATTTTATCCTTTTTAACTCCTGAAAATCAGGCGCTGTACTATAACACATCTGTGTTCTTGTTGAAACTGACTAAATATAAAAGGTGCGAGTTTATTTAAGAACTAAATACAATATAAGTAATATTATTATTAGCTCTTTGCGTAGAAATGAATCTAGCACATTTGTGACCGTAAAGAAAAGTGTAGATTTCATATATTTGTAGTTTTTCACATATTTTTAGTTTTTAAAGATCATTGCGTGAACAAAGTCACGGAAGATGTTCGGTCATGATTGATTGTATCGATCAAAGCAATTAATTTTGTTCGATTTCGTGTTGATTTAAGCGCCGTTGGTTCCCTTTCAATGCTATTAAATACACAGTGTTAGATCAATGGGAAATTGTGCCATAACATTTATCTTACAATATTCTGGAAATCATACTGACACCGCGTCAAAATGCTAGTCGATTACTTCCTTACCGATGGTTGTCGATGGTTGTGATACTAAGATCGCACTTCATTATTCTCAAACCAGTTTGAGCTGGTCTTACCTCTCATCTTTATAAACTGTCCGATCTGCCCACGGATTCCACAACCATGTATCGATAAAGTCACTCATCTTCTTCGATCCATGGTTTCGCGATCAGCCACATTATACAAGCTCCATATAACTTCTTGGCTTTTGCATCTCGGCCGTCTCGCCACCTCTGCCTTTTGTGAACAACCGTTGTCAAGGTGATTGGAAGCTCTTTTGTTTTGACAGCACATTACTGAATATTTCTGCCAAAATTGCTATTAATCATTAATCCTTTTGTCTTTGTATTAGCTAAATTGCATTGTTGCTGGTATCGTTTCCGTGGTAAATAAGCAAATGAGATAAAATTTTCGAATCAGACAAAAACGGTTGCCTTTGGTATTTAACTGAAAAAAAAATAACATTGAAAGTAAAAAAAAAGAGCTACCTGAGTGATATAACTAACTGCTTGACTTCTCGTGGAGATCAGGCGTTTTGTTTTTTTGTTTTTGTTTGTTTGTATGTTGTTAAAACGAGGGGAAAAAGAGCGCTAGAGGTATGATCGTAGCCTGTGTACAGACGTCCCCCCTCCCTCAGATAAAATCGAGAGAAGAGAGAAAAATAGGGAAAAGTCTCTTCTCCCGATTTTTTCTGAGGGAGGGGGGACGCGGACGTCTGTACACGGGCTAGCATGATCGCGGACTAGCGTGAAGCAGCTGCGAAGGAGGTTACTTTTATGCTTATTCAGAACAGTAAAACGCTAATTTCAGTTAAGAAAAATAATCTAGAAAGAAAGCCTTTACTCTATTGACAAATATAAATGGGGTAGAACACTTCAATAAGGCTGACGCTAATTCCTAGCGCTCGCGTTACGAGCGTTACGAGCGTCCCTTGCGCCTTCGGCGCTCGGCACCCAGTCGACTTGTGCAAGTCTATGCTTCTCACTGTAGTGGTACTATAGACAGGATTCGCTATATCAAATTGCAGAGCAGTCGTTCTGCAGCCTGTACTATGTCCCTTGTGCCTTGTCCTGTTATAAAGTTTAAAGTCCAGTGCATTCCAAACAACAAGCATCAGTCAGAGTTTTGGATCAGTTCTTTTCTTTCCTTTTCTTTTTTTCTGCCATTTATTACAGACGACTCTCTCTTAACGGACAACTCTATAAGACGGACACCTCTGTAAAACGGACACCTAGAGTTGGTCCCTGCCTTTCTTTACTCCCTTTATTTGTCTCTCTATAAGACGGACATCTCTCTAAGACGGACCCTTACTCCCAGTCCCAAAGGTGTCCGTCTTAGAGGGAGTTGACTGTTTTTAACTTTTACCTCGCATTATTTTAGAAAATGCCCTGAGGATGAACAGGGTCGATTAAACTTATCCCCTAAACATACAACAGTTTGCAGGGTAATAGGTTCATACACATACATACATACATACATACATACATACACCCATACATACATACATACATATATACGTATGGTTGACGGAAGAAAACAAGTAACTACATAAGTATCCCTACAAGCCTGTTTCGTGGTTGTCCACTCATCAGGGGATTTTAATGAGAATAACTTTACCATTACTTATACTCGCTCTACTTTATGTATTGAGCACTGTTTTACGGATTTCAAGTTCAAACCTCTTACATACATATATACATACATACACAAACTTTATTTTAACTCGAATTTACAGAGGGTCTCATTTAGCTAATATTTCCGAGCAAAATAAGAGTAAAACTTATTGACTTATAAAAGTAATTCTAATGAAAATTCAAATTTCTTAAGGAATTTTTAAGTCATCGATTGATATTATTTGTGTCATGTCGTCTTTAAGTGAGTTCCAGAGCTTTGTAGCTTCGTACTTGAAGGTCTCGAGTGCATTAGCGCAGGAGCACCCAACGAGAATATAGTTCAAAACCACTTAAACATAGCATTGTTAAACGTATTTTAGTATTTAAACGGTAGATATAGGCATATTTTTATCCCCTAAAAATTTTTCATCTGTTCGGATTTCCTAGCTGAAAGTCTAGTGATCCGAAAATTATAGGCATCAAAACTTACCTTTTCGAAAATTTCAGCCACTAAAAAGGCTCCCGAAAATTCTAGGTGACCTTTTAAGGGTAAAAATCCGTTTAAAAAGGGGCAATTTAAGTAGTTTTTAGATGTTCGAAAATCGTAGCAGAGGCATGCAAGCAAAAAATTTTACAACAAATGTTCCGAAAATTCTAGATCTCAAATCGTCTTCCGAACAGATATTTTCCGAAAATTGTCGTGGGGTGCCCCTGATTAGCGGTTGTCCTAGGTTCAGGTAAGCTTAGAAATTCCCTCTTATGAATGTTTGGAGTAGCCGGAAGAGAGAACAGTTTCTTAAGATATTTAGGATACGAAGAGACAAATAAGCTTTTAAACACAACAATAAGCATTTTGTGATTTCTTCCACTGTACAAACGTGTTGTCTTAGCCATCTTTAGCAACTCGTCATAACTAGAATTTACGTCACTAAATATAAATCTCAAAATGCGTTTAGTTTTGTTACGATTTCTCGCGCCAGAGAAGTGCCATATAAGTGAACAATAATGAGAGTGCGGTAGCACAAACGCCTTAAATAAACGCAACATAAAGGTCATAACGTTTCTAGTGATAAGACTTTTGGTCCCTGACATTCAGTAAAAGTTACTTAACATCCTCATTACTGCGAATAAGGTCATATAAAACTAAGTATACTTGTCACAACTTGATAATACGAATAGGCCTTTGGCAGTAGGTTAACTGAGCGTCTACAGTGTTAGATCGTTGAAACAGTTGTCAGTCCAATACATCCTTGCCCCAAAAGTAATCAGTGTAAGCGTCTCAGTGACGAGACACTGACTCAAGGACGTCCAGGTGAATTTACTTAGCACGCAAACATTCGTGTGAATCTTCTGTCACGACTTGTAGTCACTCACGAACACCCATGGTTTTACCTCTAGCTGGCGCGCGTGTAGAATTAGAAAAGGAGTCTTGCGTGTGAGTATACTAGATACGCAAACATTCATGTGAATCTTCTGTCACGACTTGTAGTAGTAGTCACTCACGAACGCTCGTGGTTTTGCCTTTAGCTGGCCCGCGTGTAAAATAGAAAAGGAGTCTTACGTGTGAGTATACTAAACACGCAAACATTCATGTGAATTTTCTGTCACAACTTGTAGTTGTAGTCACTCACGAACACTCGTGGTTTCACGCGGCCTCTATGCTAACGGGCGCGCGTGTTCAATTAGAAAAGGGTCTCACTAGGTCAAGAAAGGTACTCACGATATACTTAACCACGAGCCCATGACTCTACTCTTCTGCGCTTTTATAGGTATACTGCGCGACAAGCGTTTAAAGGGAAAATGAAGGACAAATGTGCGCCTTATGAACTTCCATTCTCGCGCAGACTCTCACGCGCCTCAATTTTCTTTGAACTTTCTCTTTAAACCGCCACCATGCAACTTACTTTTAATCCTTTAAACTTAACAGGAACCCACAACATTTGAATTTGACTCGCTCCAAATATTATTCTCCCGCGCGCCAAGTACCTGAACACTACAGCAGTCGAACGCTAATCCCGTAAAAAGGCAGGCTCAGAAAAAGCTTCATTCCATGCATGTTTGTCTTTAGTTGAAAGGTTTAAATTCTTTTTAGTCAGGCACGAATTGGTTGTATAATGTTGCGAAATATGTCCCTTTTTATTTCCGCGAATGTGGGTCACTTTAATAACGCTTGAAAATTGTACATTAGACACGAATACCAGTGGCTTATGACGTCATTAAACAGATTCCGGAAACCCAATTCAACGCAATTTCCGTGGTCACGTAAGACCGGCACTAACTACCTTTCCCTTTTCTATCCCTCGATCGCGTGAGACTGTCAAGACACTTAACGATAAAAGTGGTTACGCCAACGTTACTCGACTCTGTCACTCCCCCGCGGGGGGGAGGGGATGGGGTACACCTTATAACGGCCTATACGGGGAGGCTCCGCCCGAAAGGGGAACCTTTTTTAGGCTTCAGGTATATTGAAGGGTAGAAAATTCACTAGTTATAGTATATGAAAGGGTAGGGAAATCTGTCATTTCGGTCTGTAAAAAGGCCCAAAAAGGCTAACAGCAGTATTTTATGGCTGTGAAAAAGTCGAGAAAACGTTCTGGTTTGGCTATATATTCAAATTTTTAAGTCAGTGTATTTACAGCAGATAAAAAAGATGAAATGTTCTAAACTATATATGTGAAAGGGGTACCAGTTGTCATAATAGAAGGTATACGAAAGGGGTACCTTTTCTGTAAAAAAATTGTGTATAAAACTAAAGTGTAAGGGGTCGGACCTCCAGGCGGAGCTTTCCCGTATAAAACTTTTTTGAGTACCCGCCGGGTGTCTGTACTTGCCAGAGTACTCCATTATCTGCTCTAGTACAGAGTCATTGACGCAAAACGGTTTCAGAAAACGACTTTCTGTATGTAGAAACAGTGGTAATGTTTGCCGCCTTTAAATAAGTTTCGGTTCGAAGGACCTTAAGTTAAGCGGTTTAAGTCCACGTTTATTGGGTCAAAGCGTTACTTTCCCCCCTGGTCATAGTTATCTAAGTAAGTCTTGACTTGCCGTTGTGCCCTTTCTCTGTAACATTTCGTAGTGTGTTGAGTATGTACTTGTATTTGGTTCTTTTTCATTCGCGCCGGGCTGCTATCTTTCATTCTCTTTACCGCTAAATTACAGTATAGGCAACTAAGATGCGTGAACTGAATCAGTCGCTTCTTATATAAAGATTGAGCAGTTATATTATAAATTTTAAACTGTGGACTTAGCCTGTGAAGTATTTTGAGCATAACCACTCAAATCAGCTCAGTTACACTTTTCCTCCTCTAAAGGTTAGTTTTTCGGATCTCTTTAGCGTTCTTTTAAAGCACTCCTTGGTAGGATATAGGTCGAAACTATGATCTCTATGCCACAGCAGATTACAGAAATTCAACTTTTTTTCAAAGGCGGCCTATCAGGTCCGAGACATGCACGACAAAGTCCTTTTTAGCGATCTCGACATCCCTGTGACCCACATATCATATACCGATACCGATACCGATACCGATAGCGATATACCCCATCAAGAAGCTACAATCTTGGACAACATAAATGGAAAACCTAGACCCCCCCCCCTCCCCCCCTCCCAAATCAAGGATGGGAAAATGGCGCGTTTTTGCCCCTCGCGCGGCTTCATCCTTGATTTTGGGGGGACGGGGGTTTGCTGTTCCATTTTATTTTGTCCAAGATTGTAGCTCGTAGTTTCTTGGAATCGTTGATGTCTATCTGCCATCTTGTAAGTAGTAGAAGGTGTCTCCAAGGCCACTAATACAAGTGAAAACTCTAGCTTACCACTGAGAAAACAGCCAACATTTTCTGCACGGGGAAGGTACATGCATGGCGTCGCGAAACTTTGCGGGCTGTTTTGTCAGGCTATGGATTCTCTGGCAATGTTTATTATGCTGTATATGGTGATTAGATCTCATGTTTGAGGCTACCTATGGAACTGATAGATAACCTTCATTGATAACGTGAGTGAAGTGCAGCGCCAATTAAACATTACCATGGGGCATTTAAATCCCCCGGGGGGGGGGACTCCCTTACATAAGCCATGTAGTATGTGCCGCCCTAAAGGGTAGGGCTTTCCGCCGTCTTGGTCTTAAAACGGGTATAGCAGGGGCCATATTTTTGCTTTTGGGTACAGCATTTGCCCAGTTTGGTCTTGAATTGAGCATGGTTTTCGAGGGAACCACGGGAGTGTATGGACGTATTCATCGTTTCAATTCCAAGTGAGTAAGAAAGAAAGAGAAATATGCGTCTTCGAAATGGATTTTAATAAATCTTTTTTTTGTTGCTGTTTTAATCGAAGTAATGATGACATAATTTCTTAGAGGTCAGGTCTGAAAACGGGTGTGAATATTTACATTTTTTGGTCTGAAATATTATAGGGTCTTGACTTGGAGAACCGGGCGGCATACCCCCACCAAGAATTCCCAGGGATACCCCCCAGGTTTAAATATCCCCTTGTCTGGATTTGTATGTACTTGTATACCAAACCTCGCTGTTCATTGTGCTGTATATGGTTATTGGAACTCATTTCATTAGATTGCTAATGGCGAATTGATAGATTATCTCCATAGATAACTGTAGTGCACTTCCCATTGAACATTACCCATGGGGCATTTAAATCTCCCCTTGTTTGGATTTGTATACCGGTATAACATACTGTATACCAAACCTGAGCGTGAACGCTGGAATAATAAAATAAACTCGAGTTGCATGCAGCTGTGACAGGCCTCCCACGCAGATTGTCGCTGACTCATCACGATACCAAAAAAAGGAATCAAACCGTCACCGGTAGGCTGCCCTCTGTTTTAATGAAAATTATTCGAATTTTTCCCTTTTCACTCTTTCGTTGTAAGTACTTTCTACAATGAAAATCCGCCCAAACGTGATAGTACTGACAACGATTAATGATATTTAATAATCATCATTTTTCACGCAAAGTACTTCTGCCCACAACAGCATCCGTTCTCTTAAGTCGAACGGAATGACGAAACAATGGGCTCTCTCTACACACACACTATCAGATCACAGTAGTCCTATATTAATCAATCAATCAATTAGTCCTAGTTTCTTGCAGCGTAAAACCAACTGTTTTACGCCAAGAGAAATATACACGGCGCCGTTATCAATTGCAGCATGTAGCGAACTCTTTGAGGGGCTTTAGTAAATCGTGATTCGTGACTTGAAGATAAGGATATTTCTGTTTTCACCGATTTAATCTGATGCGACACGGAATCGAGTTTTTCTTTTTCTCTATTATTTTTCTGAATCCCGTTCTCCGTTGTTTATAACGATGTTTCTTTTAAAACACTTTTTTCAATCGAAAATGCTATCAACTGTTCTTGATATTTACCATTTAAATGGATTTTACCGAGTACACCTGCTCAATGAGCGAGTATTTATCTAATGGCTATTAATTTCACTTTTAGCCGTTTTAGGTCGCTTTACTCATTTTTTTACAGGCCAAACCATTTATCAATAGCTACTGTAAATTGCGAATACAGGTTGTAATTGACATAAGTGGAAGATCTGCGCCATTTGTCGAAAAGGTTCTTGGTGTTTTCTCACAAATGTGAAATAAAATAAAAATGCATACACAAAACCCCAAATATCAAAGCGAGGTCTTTTGTTAATTATTTGTGTTGCAAATATTACACAAAGAAACGTCATTAGCAACGAATTACCCAATCAGAAGTGAGTGCGGATTAGGCGATAGAGTAGCTAAGAGGCAAAATTGATTTGCAAGCCTTTTTTAAAAAACTCAAACATGATTCAGTTTTCAGAAGATACCCCACTGAAACTACAAAAGAGCGAAACCGATAGAACTAATTTCATCAATAACACCGGTAGTAGATTACATCACAAAGACAACTGTTGTTTAAAAAAACTGATCTGGATATCAGTGAACCGTGGTTCAATACATCACTGATCTCTTTGTTTCAGGCGTGACTGTCAAAATTACGAATATAGTTATATTGGTTTCTTCAACTCCTTGCCAATCACAACATCATTCCGTTTTCGTGAGTGTTAACCGGGATCGCGCTTCTTATCTGAAGGTTATCCGTGGAGTTCGCGTGGGGATACCGTAAGAGTCAACATTTGCTGTCCTTAATCCATCACAAAGATTTGCTCACCGAATTACGAAGTTTCTTGAAAGGTCACGTACAGCGAGGACCGCGTGAAACGTTATTTGTAACGTGAGAGGTTGTGTAATTTTACGGTCGCTGCCGACCCTACGTGAGTACGTTAACCTTGGATTTCACACCAGTTACTGTTTTTGACCAGTGTTTGTCCGAAAAGTTTACTTGGGATTCGAACGCAAATATATGTGATTCGAACAAAAACACGACTACGAGACAGAAATCGCTTTGTCTTACTCAAGTCCCGAGAGATGGCGTTCTCAAACAACAATTCCGACTCACATCACGAACATGTTGGAATAATCGAAACACACGATCAAGGATTCAAGATTGGGATCATTCTTTGTCTTAGTGTGGCCTCTGTGGTGGGATTTCTGGGCAATGGGCTTGTCATCGCTGTAATAATGAGGGCGAAGAAACTCAAGTCAGTAATGAACCGCTTTATTCTTCACCTCGCTATCAGTGACATGATCGTTAGCGTGCTGGCAATTCCATTGTTTTTGTTTGTGAATTTCAACGACAAAATGTTCAACAACACAGCAAGCCTGGCGGTTTGCAAGATAGCGCGGTTTTTCCAGTACTTATCTCCTGAAGCGTCCATGACTTTGCTTATCACCATCGGTTGGAACCGGCACCAAGCTGTCGTGCACCCGTTGAATATAATGACTTATGGCACTGCGAATAAGTTGATTCTAGCCGCCTGGGTCTACGCTCTCACAGTCGTTGCTCCGAGCCTTTACTTGACAAAGCTGGCACAAACGGCAGCGGATCCAGTCACGAACGAAAGCCTGACTTATTGTGCTACCATTCCCGCTACCACCCTACCGAACACCATTTACGTCTATTTCCTGGCTCTTTTCGGTTACCTAATACCCCTGGTTTCGCTGATTGTTTTGTACGGCAAAATATACAAGACTGTTTGGAGGCGCAAAAGCGGCCAGTTGGGCGATTCTCGACCTGAAGAAGCTTTCATCCGCAGCAGAAAAAAGGTGTTGAAAATGTTCCTGACCGTTATAATTGTCTTTCTTGTGACTTGGCTGCCACTGTTGCTGTACATCTCGTTTATTGAATTAGCCGTCAATTCCTCGTCGAGTCATGTGGATTATACTCGGTTGATCACATATTCTTTGGGATTGTGCAACAGCATTTGTAACCCATTCATTTATGCGCTTTTTAACAAGAAATTCAGAGCTGGCTGTAAGGATATGTGCCACGTGAGCTTCAAAGCGTTGCAGCGAAAGAAAAGCCCCGTGGAAGCGGCGAACGGCGCTGCGCTTACTCCTGGAACAGAAGAACGGCAAATGCGCGTTTTTGCAAGGCGGGGTGGGTTCCACGGAACTAAAGGAAATAGTAAGGCGAATTCTGGAAAGGCCACCAACGATAAGAAAGCAAACAAACCGGAAAAGAAAGAAACAGCGAGTTTGCCTGTTAGTCAGCTGATAGGGAGGCGTTTCCGAAGTATATCGCTGCGGAGGGTTGAGGACTTAGATAAGAACTCTAATGACGCTGTGAGGTTAGTGAGTTATCAAAGGACCGTGGATCCTGAAGAAGTCATGCTGCACATACCCGAATGGAATATTTCGCCGCAAACCGTGAAATCCTCGGTAAGCTTGAACACAGAGAACTGCGTTAAGTTTGCGGACAGCACGGATGAAAATGACTCGGACAAGTCCGACTCACCCCCTGAGAACCGCAAATTTACCGCGGAATACGGAAGGTCTGCCCCGGAAAACAAAGGTGGCTATTGTATCCTTATAGACGACGTCCAGACTCCTGTCCTGGAGCGGAGAACTAGAACACGTAGCGAAGGCAGTGCACCAAGGAGAACTAAGCACTTGAGGCTTCGTAGCTTGCCTGCCACAACGTGACTGAATAGAGATGTGATAGTCAAGTCACAGAACTGTTCTAGTCCTAAACGAAAACGTGCGGCAACCACATCAATCTTTCTGGTTTGGCGGCTGCAACAATCAACATGTAGCCTGAATGAAGACAAACAGATCTACTAGCACGATTATCAGATTAAGATCACTTTCCCCTTGACGTGTTCAAAGTTGGCTGGACAATGCCTAATACATCGCCACTCAAAATTGCTAGTTTTAATCACAGGAAAGTACTTGAAGAAATTTGACCCATAGATCGTAAAATACGAACCACCCTGTATATCCTATTGTTTTTAAAATCGCGAGAAGAATTGCTTGTAGGTTTTCGTTTTTTATGTTTACGGTTATTGTTATAGAATGAAGATGATGTAAACTTTCTGTGAAAATACATAGATTTTTATACCGTTATTGTTATCAACTCTCAGATAACTTTGAAAACAGAGACATAGCTACAACTGCAGGTTATTTACGACCGTTGCCATTTTAATTAAGGCCGAAATCGCAACATTTTTAAAACAGTATTGTTTTGCTGTCAATGCAACATAATATTCAAGAACGTACAAGACTCATCTGTAACAAATTGATTTCAAATGTTAATCGATATTTGCCCACCTGTCGAGCGAAGGCTCTTAATAATTTTTGTTTTGTATACAGACCTTAGAAATGTTCATAGCGGCATTCAAAATGCAATTTTATTGGTTTCTCCATCAAGTAGATGTAGAGTTTGATGTTTCATGTAGATCAGAAATTGGTCTTTTTTAGATGTTGTTCGCCCCTTTTTTTCTTTAACAAAATTCCAAATCAGTTACATGTTCTAGGCTGTTAAAAGAAAAACGTTGAAATTAGAATTTGATATTTCTGGTTAAATATTCGCCTTTAACATTAAAGCCATTAAAGACAGAGACAATTCAAAAAAATTATTGAAAGGAAGATCACACTTTCAAACAATAACCAATAAATATTCTTGCTAATGAAATTTTTCGTTTTGGCCTGGACTAAGAAACTGCGGAACTGGCACCATTGGAAAGAACGCCTTGAAATTAGGAAACCCCGGAAATGTGCCTGGAGGAGAAGAATTCGTTTTCTATTTAAATATATGTTTTTGTCACAGACTATTGTAAGGCAGTATCTATTTCTTCTTTAGGTTTCGTAAACACGCCCTTTAACCCTTTCACTGCCAGAGTGTTTGATGGAGTTTTGTAAGGTGGCTCTAACTTTTGAGTCTGCGGATGAAATCCTATGATGTGACTATTCAAATAAAAGTTCTCTGCCTGTACATGGTATTATTTGTTTAGTGTGTAGTTCTAACTTTTGAGTCTGTGGACGACATCCTATGAAAGCTCTCTGCCTGTACTGTCACATGGTGCACGTATGTGAAAAATTTAGATTTCTTATCTTCGATTTAACAAACAGAGCTGTAGTACTTAAGACAATAGAACTCCGAAACCGTCAAATGGACGTACTATTTTGAGCAAAAGAGTCGATAAGGGTAGACCTTTCGAACGTTTCATTTAATTTTAATTTACTGCGTACGTGTAATTGTTCAAGGTTTTAATTATTACCCTGTAAACCTTCGGGAAAATTGAAAGCAATATTTTAGAGCCTCAAGGCGCTGTGCAGTAGAACCTCGATCTAACCCTTTAAGTCCCAATGGTGACCAACATCAATATTCTCCTAACAATATCCATACATTGTTAAGAGATTAGGTTATGAGAATTAATAAAATGATCACCAAAGAGAAAATACTATGATCGTTTATCAAGTACTCTTAACTCATTCTATAAGGAAATGTATGGAGACAAGTTTGGAGAATTTGTATGTGGATATTGGGACTTAAAGGGTTAACGGAGGGTCAGCGGAATGGCAAAATTTGTTCGCTATATCGAGGTTCTTTTTCGTACATTATATACATTTTACTATTACTGGGGTAAAGAAAATTATTCGTTATACCGAGGACTTCGTTATATAGAGGTTCGTTATATCGAGGTTCGTTATATCGAGGAATTTGTTATATAGAGGTTTGTTATATCAAGGCTCCACTGTATGAGGAATATCCAACTGTTTTGTCGTACAAATTTCCCACGCATCTTAAAGCTCGCGCAATTTTTAATTTCCCACTGGTAAGAGAAAAAGGCTTTCTAGGTTCCTCAGGGATTTAAAATGTATATATTTTTGTTTAAAGTTTTCCAGTTATTTCTAAGGGATCTGAGAAACCAAACTCTAGATGTAAACACGTTTTTAAAAAAGGGATTTTTAAAGGCTCTTTACATTACCAAGGAAACCCCAAAACGAAATAATTTTTTATCAAAAATTAAAAGTCAACGGGTGGTTAAATTGTGCTTTATTCCTTAAAACTGTTCCTCTAGAAACAGGTTGTGGTATTGATGCTTTATCAATAGCGTCAAATGAATTGGTGAAATAAAGAACACTCAGATATTGTCTTTGCGCTGTTTATTCGATTTTATACTCAACGTGACGAATTTCACTCCACTGCAACGAAATTATATTACGCAACAAAAGGACATCACGTTCACGGTTTAAAACGAACGCAACGTAACGTTATTGCAAATAGCAACTTATTCACATTAGGGGGCATTCATGACTCATCACTTCGTTAATTGTAAACTGCACCATAAGCCGTCTGGAAAAAGTCCCCCAACCGGTGTTGTAAATTAACCCTGAAAAGCCCCGAGGGAGGGGATAATAACATATTCACCATCGCATAATTATTTAGCGCGTTGGATACGAGATGGTAGATAGCCAACGAGGCTCTTGTTGGCTGTAATC